CGAGAACAAGTTTTGCAAAATCTAGTAGGTTCCAACTGTTTTATGAAGACATAATGTTAACATTTGTAGTAACATAATTCAGGCTGTCATCAGACCTAATCGAACGTATCAACATAGTCCTTTGAAAAATCTTGTGCTTGTAACTTTATATTCCCATCAACAAATTGGTAATTAATGACCTGCCATGGCCATTAATATAATTAATTATTTTTATATTCATATTTTTTTGCAAATTAAAATCAGATAAATTTTTTTCATATTCAAAAAAAAATTACAAGTCATTTATAACCAGCAAAATACTTCTCACTCATATTCTCTAATTGAATTTAATGATCAGAAAATTCTTTTTTCATTTTTTATGAGCTATGACTGCATATGGCCACAAAAATTTTTCCCTTCAAGACACAATGGCTTAATAATATTTATTGCAAATTGTTTAAGCTATAATAAAAATGCAATAATTGCCGTGTTACAGAAAAAGTTTTTCCCATCGAGAAGGAAAACAAACAAAACATGAAAGTTTGTACTAGCGTGGTTGTTGTACGTAGATAATAGTCATAGATTTAATGACAGTACTTTGCTAAAAGCATTCTATGCAGTTTTTCAAATAAAATTGTTTTTTAATGTCAGTGGTTTTAGAAAAAAATAATAAGGAAAAAAAAGATTGCAACAATCTCAAATTGCATTGTAATTTAAGCCGATAACAAATGGAAATAGTTTCCATAAATCACAAAGCTGTTAGTATTTAGTTTCTTGAATTTACGACTTTTCATTTCTAATGCATAAAATCAGCTAAAATTGAAGCGTATCGAAATTCACTCAATGTGTGAAGTATTTTTTTTCCAAACAGTTTTTAACGAAGTTTTGATGAACACGTGCATTTTTTTGAATTGAATTTTTATTGTTTTTCAAACAAAGCTGCAGGATATATTGTAATAAAATGTTTGCATTCTATTTTTGCCATCTTTTTCTAAAGTTTCCTATTTAAATGTGATTTAAAATCATTATTTAAAGCTGATTTTTTCGCAAAATACTTTTTGAGGTGGAAAATTTAAATAAAATCATCACAGTCTTAAGTTTCAATTATATTTGAATTTTAAAAAGCCGTTAACTTTCAAATTAATTTGCAAACCTCAAAATCATTCAATTAAGCAGCATTTTTCAGCATCAAGGTGTACGAAAGTGAAAACTTTTTTCAAATTGCCGCCAAACGATAATTTTTTCCGCAATTTTCTTCTTCTCTATACAAAATTAATACTCAATCCAGCGAGTGAAAGAATTCAAACTATTGAGAAAATGTACAATAAACAATGGAAAGTGCAAAATCAACCCACAACCGACAGCTACAATTTTCTTCCCACAAATAAAGCAAAAACAAAAACTCATCATCATCGAAAGTGAAGATAATGACGGCAATAAGCGTGGTACATAAAAATTGCTTTTTTTTTTCCTTCTTTCATCATAGAGTTCAAAATTACAAGTTTAATGCACTGAAAATCTCATTGGATGGACCATTATTAGCACTTTTTTATCGCTGATTTAAAACAAGTCAGCAATCATTGCTCTTCCACTTGATTCCATCACTTTTTCACATGAAAACTTTTTTCGATTCCAACTTTGGTGTCACGTTTCGGATTTCAAGGCTCTACGTAGCTGCCGTTATACAGTCGAACAACCACCATGATGCATAATTTTTATATTTATCAGAGTTCGCGCGAAAACTATTGTATATGAAATACAGAAATGCTAAAAATATTATTGCAACATGATCTCATTGTTATTTAAAGGCAGTAAGCAAAGCGAGAAATGGTGGTTAGAATATCAGTTGGATATAAAGTTCTTGGGAGCGCACTTGAGTTGACATTTAAGATTATTTTTAATGTCTGATTACTAGTCTGCTGACTTATGGGAAGTTGAGGCTTAATGCAAAAGGCAAATTCTATCAAGCTACAAACTTTTTGATTTTTTTAACATTCATAAATTAAGTAAGTCCAATAAAATTCAAAAATTCTATGCATGACCCATTTTATGCGTTTTAATTTGCCAATATGACTGCATCTGCAAGGGGCCATTCACTTATTACGTAACGCTTTTAGGGGGAGGGGGGGGTCTAAGATTTTGTTACGGTTCAAACAAGGAAATTTTTTTTTCATACAAATTTTGTTACGAGGGGGGTCTAAGAAGTCATTTTTTCGCGTTACGTAATAAGTGAACAGCCCCCAATCACATTTGCCAAAAATTCCAGTCCAAAGCTTCTCAAGTTGCAACAAAAACGAATAGCAACAGAAAAAAATACTAAAATAATTAAGCGGGACAGCTATTTTGAGTTTATGAGAAAGCAATACCAAGCAACATTGATGGAATGTCATGAATAATATCAAATTCACCATGACATCACCCTAATAACTCATCAACAGTCGATTGGATTGTTGAATTTTTGGTATCGTGTGTTTAAATAAAAAATAACAAAACACACAAAAGAAAATTTTCCATTAAAAAACTTCTCCACCTACCGAAATGAGAAACAATGAGTTTTTTAACTGAAACGAACAGTTTGATCGATAAAGTAAAACATGATCTCGATAGTAGCGAGACAAGAATCATCAATAATATGGAGTGGAGTGAAAGAATTGGGAAAGGCGAATGTTATGTGAGGGAAAAGTTCAACGCTCTATTGATGATGATGAAGAAAAACTAATTATTATTATCAAATTTATTATTGGGAGCACTTTTTGGCTCCAATCAGCTACTGGCAATCGGATTATTAGCGAAAATTGAATGGCTTTCGGAGTTATGTTGCTGGATGGATGATAAATTGACGAGACAAAAAAAGATTTATTGATAGGCACCGTTACAATCAAAATACTTTTAAGATAAGCACGAACAGGGCAATAGCCAAATCTTAGGAAGATAAAATAGGTCAGATTCCAATCAAATCCTTCCATTTTAGGTTACCTAATCACCTCTTGACATTGCCACCGAGCACAAAGCTTTAAAAGCAATTAGAGAAATTTATTGACACATCTAAAGCTTAACTTAAGCCGACATACTCAAAGTCTATTGTGTCCATAACAACTCAATGATTGATGTCTATTTTTGGTAATATAGAAGCAACATCAACTGACATTTATGGCTCAAATATTTTCATTGTCATCATCATTATTTGCCTAGCAAGTGGTTCCCTCCCAAAATATGTCTGACGTTGGATAACATCTACTTCCAATAATTTAATTAACCTTATTTTAATTGGCACGAATTTTGCATAAACTTTTTTTGATGTCTCACCATGATTTTTGGCATAAAGCATCAAATAAATGCTGAATTTTCAAATATATAATTTAAATTCAAGCTAGTTCGCCTGAATTCAATTGTTTCACGTATATTCATTGCCATAGTTAAATCAATTCCTCTTGAACTTTAAAATGTGGATGTAATTTAACTGGTTTAATTTTAATGATGAGCATTTAGGGTTGTTAGGATGTTGTGTGATTCATAAAATGATCAGTTTTGATTCTAATTCACTTTACAAGCTGGATTTTTGAGGAAAACTGAGTGTGAGCTTTGTCATAACTCCTAATCAACTTTAATTTGCTTTGAATGATTGAGAACTAGTGTAAAGGATATGATGTATCACAGCTTATGATGGAATTTTGCATTACGTAACATTCAAAAGATCCATTACCATTTCTGCTGATTTACGATACAGAATTTTATATAAAGGTTCACTGGTAAGAAGAAATTTGTAATGGATAACGCGATCGTTCAAAAACTCATTAAGGTGGACGTAAAAATCACATTGAATATCAATTTCAGCCACAATAAGAACAAATGTATAAGTTTTTTCATGCCAGAGGTGTTTTTCTGATTCTAGAGAGTTGCTGATTTTTTAGCGAGACTAATTAGCAAATTGCTAGTCTTTCTATTCTACTACTTGCAATTTACTAGTTATTATTAAAACAACTTACTGTTAGTAAATTACACTTGCAAATTTAATAGCAAATTACTAGCAAATTACCATGTGAAATGTTTGATCAAATTTGCTTAAGTTTGAATCCTACGAAAAATAATCAAAAAAAAAGAATATTTTGCGTCATAAAAAATTTTGATCTAAATTTGGCATTTGCCATATACTTCACAAGAACGCACAGAAATCACCTTTATAAGGTCGATTCAAATTTGTATGTGACTTTCAATTGTGAAATGTTTGATCAAATCTGATTAAGTTTGAATCCTACGAAAAATAATCAAAAAAAAAAAAAAAGAATTTTTTGCGTCATAAAAAATTTTGATCTAAATTTGGCATTTGCCATATACTTCACAAGAGCGCACAGAAATCACCTTTATAAGGTCGATTCAAATTTGTATGTGACTTTCAATTGTGAAATGTTTGATCAAATCTGCTTAAGTTTAAATCCTACGAAAAATAACCAAAAAAAAAAAAGAATTTTTTGCGCCATAAAAAATGTTGATCTAAATTTGGCTTTGCCATATACTTCACAAGAGCGCATAGAAATCACCTTTATAAGGTCGATTCAAATTTGTGTGTGACTTTCAATTGTGAAATGTTTGATCAAATCTGGTTAAGTTTGAATCCTACGAAAAATAATCAAAAAAAAAAGAATTTTTTGCGTCATAAAAAATTTTGATCTAAATTTGGCTTTGCCATATACTTCACAAGAGCGCACAGAAATCACCTTTATAAGGTCGATTCAAATTTGTATGTGACTTTCAATTAGCAAGTGAAAATGCGGGTCTTTGGCGAAGATTTGAACTTGGATTTTGACTAGTAAATAGCAAGTAGCAAATGGAAAGTTATCCAGTAAATTATTAGGAAATTACTAGTAAATTTCTGATAGAAATTTCTATGCTATAGAAGAACAATCTAATAAGCAAATATCAAAAACTAAGTCACATTACTTAGTCCCAACCCTGCAATCAATGCCCAGAAATTGCAAAAATAATTGCGTAATTAATATTTTTAAGACTATAAATGAACGTACCTTAATATGGATTATAAGACGTGTGAATGATAAATGATCTCAATATTTGTTGTAATATATCCAAAAAGTAAGTAGAACTGAAGAATAATTAATGATTCTCTCCTTTAATTCCTTGAAATTTTATTGTTTTGGTGTTAAACTGATCGATGGTTTTTTAAGATTCTCGTAATCCCTTTTCTTCTTCTTTTTCTACCTTTAAATCTCTCTTCCTTAATTATTTTTTCATTCTCTTTTGTTTTCAAAATTCCACTTCTATTTAATTTTTCTTGTATATATCTTGTTGGATTTGTAAGCTAAGCGTACACACAATAAAAAGAATTAAATAATACACAGCACACGTATAATAAAAGTAAAAGAAGTTGTCTTCGAGAAGTAAACAAGCTTATTGAGTAAATACTAGCTTTTCTGGCTCATGTCTTGCTTGTGTATTTTATTTTATTTTTTTTTGTGAATTTCACTTTATCACCTTTTTTGTCACTGACTCACTGTTAATTATTTAACTTTTTGATTTTTCGAACTTTTTTCAATTTTAATTTTCGTTAAATTCAATTGATTTTGCACTGATCATTCCTTAACACTTTGGATTGAATTAATTATGATCCACTTTTTGTTTAAATTTTCACTCTATTTCATTCCAAATGCATACTTTGATTTTTTCTTAAAAATTCAAAATTTATTTTCCAAATTCACAATTCAAATTATTCAAATTCCATTCAAAACTCAATTCGAAAATTTTTCAAACATTAAACTGTTTTAAATCCAATGTAAATTCTTGACAGATTCCAATGTGATCATCACAATAAAACAATTCCTGTTTCAGTATTGCATACGACGTAAAACGCGTGCGATCTACCTCCGTTAAACAACTTTGAGAGACTAAAGAGTGCCAGTGGAACATTGAAAACAAGACGCACGTAAAATTTTGTATTTCAAGCGCGCACCGTATAAGCAAAAAGCAGAAAAAGAGAAAATGTTGAAAAATCAACAAGTCTGAATGTGTTGGTTGATTTGTTTGCTGTCAGATGATGTTGTTTCACTACCAGATGGCGCACGAGAGAGCTAGACATTGAATTTGAGATTAATTATATTAAATCGTGATTAAAGATTGATGAATGATGCTTGGAAAGAATTTGCGGAATGAGAATCTGTAAATGCTTGATTCTTCAAGTTCATTTTTTGTAAGTAAATAAATAATTTAATTTATGGATAATTAATTTTAAGCGCTTATTCGATTCAATCAAAGATTAATGACATTTTGAGATGTACAGGCATGCAGGTGATTGAAAAATGCATAAAAGCTGCAGATGTTTATTTAAATTTAACATTCGCTAATGCTAATGAATGTAAGCTGCTTGTGAATTTGAGGATGAATTTGAAATTATTGTTTTATTTCAAGCACCTTTAGTTAAAATAAGTCAGTACATAATGGAAAATAGCTATCAAATCCGTAATCTCACTTGCTATTAAGTAAAACACTTCATTGAATAAATTTCATACTTTATTACCACAAATTCCGCTAATCGGAGAAATAATCAAGTCAACAATCATAAAATCAAGAAAATGTTGAGGCCCTAGAGTGGGAAAAACATTTTTATGGATCTAATTTGAAATTCTAAACTGAGTAAAAAAATCTTTTTATTATTTCTAAGCATTTTTAAAAACTCAATAAGTTCTTAGTCTCATCAACAATGTAAATCGAATTTAATACAAAAGAATAATTTAATAAGTTTATGTCTTACAGGTTGGGCATATATTTCTTTGCCATTTATTTCTTTTGGCTTGCTTTCAAATCTCTTTTACATGAACGTTGACACATTGTTGTTGCTGCTCGCTTTTTGTCGCTTGCTTTGTGATTCGTTTTGTGTTTGTGCCTTAACGTTGTTCAACAAGAAAGAAAATTGAATCAAATTAAACTTTTTGTCTGTTTCTGTTGCTTGCTTTCTTTGCGAATTCGCGAATATCTTCGACTTTCAATTACTGCTACACTAGTAAGTTCCTCCAACATTTTCCAAGAAGATCAGCAAACTTCTTAATTCAATTAATTGGTCCATTCAAAGAAAACCGCAAAGTATGACTCGTGCCTGAGATCGATTATCAACATTTACAAGACTTTCCGAGTAAGCCACACGTTATTCATGAAATCGGACTGATTATTTCCATGCTGTTCAGCTGTTTACTTATTTTCATTTAAGGCATATTGTTACTATTGTTGCTGTTATTACATTTGGGCGTGGAAGAATCAAATAAAAGGAAATAAGAAAGAGTTTTTAGAATCTAAACATTTTCTGCTAATGAGTCACAAGTCGACAAATTGTTAGCACGTTATGCTCTATTTTGCATTAGTATGAACTAAGTTTATTGTGCTGCAAATTTGCCTTTGCATTTTGAAGGATTTCTGAGCTGCAAATGACTTCAATTTTGAGATTTAATTCAAGGAAAATTCCATTATTTATTTACTAAATTCACTCGAATTAGTTTAATGGATCAATTTGGAAGTTGACGAGCCTGTGAATTGTAAACTTAACATTGTTGGTGAAATGTCAGAAATCTGCCAAACCTTTCAAAATATCAGAAACATCAGAAACATCAATAAATGCCAAAATTTCATTTATTTGCCAAATATTTGACATGAAGAACTCTTCATGCTTATTGTCAGTTCAATTCTTATTCCAATCACGAACCTGAATATCATTTATTGAATATATTTCAAAATGTCATCACCATAATTACTTTATGCTCTTATCAGTTTAGTCCATCGTCTGAATTTTCAATGATTTCTTCAGATTTCTTCCAGTTTGGAAGTAAACTGGGTCGAATGTGTCAAAATTGGCCGATAAAGGAGAAAAGAAAAGCGAAAAATTTTGTCGATTGCCTTTTAAACTTTCTTCCATTTACTCTCAAGTGTTGCTTGTTTCGGCAATGCTTTCTTGCTTTTACTGCTCGTCACATTTCAATGCTGAATTTGCAAAACGATTTGCTTTTCATCGCATGAGCATAATGACCATAATTATGAGACTCTCACGAGACTTCAAATGCTTGATGACATAGAAAGTTTGTCCATCTGAAGAGGGCGGCAATGAGCAGCGATGCTGAAAAAAAAGAACTTGCACGACAATCGTGGCTTGAAAATTCTCGTCAAATCAATTGTTATTTATAAAACCAAAAAGTTGGCATTAAGTGCTTCCAATTGGAACCAATTTAACAGCATTCAGGAACAACAGAATTAAATGCAGCGGTAAATTGAGTGAAAAAATCATTGCCGACGATTTTAATGATGAATCTGGTGCGTGAAGTTATGAGACGACGCATCATCGAGTGTTGATTCTGATAATCAATAATGACGTTAATCATATTGCGTGGAACAAAAAGAACTGTAACTGTTCTTTCGTAACTGAAATGACTTCTTTATATCTTAACATTGCCTCTTCTTACTTTACTTCCAATCGTGATTTTTACTTTCTTTATGTCCACTTCTGAAAATATTTTCTCAATCAGTAATAAATAAGCGTAGTCAATTTTATTAGCTCATCGAATTTCTGTTTTCGGAACTACTCAAAAAAAAATATTTTTAACCCACATAATTCTTTCATTATTTTACTTCTTCTTGTCAATTACAGATGATGATTTAGAGGCAATTGAAGCAGCAATAAAATCAATTACGAGGTGAAAATTTGACAACGAAACAATAAAAATGACAGTCGGAACATTTCACACTCATCAACAGACACAACAGCATACAATGATGCAAAATTTAAGGAACTGTGCAGCAAATTTCTACGGACCACCGCCAGTAAATCAACAATATCATTTAATGGACACAAAAGGACTTCTCAATGGTCCTGGACAAAACAATTGTTTCTTAAATTGTGCAGTTCAGGTGAGTGTCTTTAATTTATTTATTGTAAAATATATGCAGCAAGCATGAGTATTTATGTTGCATAATGTGAACATCTTGTTGTTCTTGTTCCAAAACACATGTTCGACAATATTGAGGAACAATGGAATTGTTCAATGTCAATTAAATCAAATGTCGACATTTCTTTGTAACTTTTTGGATGTGACTTGAATAATTTAAAACTTTTCAAATCCAATCAATCATAAGAAATGTTAATTTATGCTGCATAAAAATGCGAACATGAATATTAATTAGATATGCGCTGCATGGAATCGAATATGATGAATTTTATTGATGACATGATTAATTTATTGAGAAACTTTCACTGAAAACAATGTCCAAGATTTAAAGTCCCTAGAACATCATTAGCATATTCAACATCCATTTCTTAACGCTTCAGTTCCGTTTTTTGCATAAAATTTTCGCGAATTTACAAATTCAAGTCATTTCCAAGTTCTTTTAATAATTTTATTTGTTTGACTTGTAATAATCACTTGTTTTGTGGATGTTTTGTGTGTGAATGGATAGTGAGTAATTAAAACAATCTGCACAGCAATAAAAGAGACAGAGAGAAAGGCTGAAAGTTCTCACATGAGAGTTGCTTGATTAAAAAAATTTAATATTATTATTATTATGGTTTTGATTCTTCTTCATCTATTACTTCTTACTGCCTCAGTTACTGCCTTCTTAATTACTCGTCATGGGAAGATGGTTCCGATTCCTCATTTTATTTCTTCTTCTACTTTACTTCTGGCGTTGGCAATTCATGAACTTTTCTATTCAAATAAATTTTCATGTTTTATGCTGCAAAAAATTATTTTCATGGTCGAAATTCGCATTAATGCAGCACAACAAATTATGAGTTGCAACATAAATCGAACGAGTCATGGAAGCGAATAAAGTTTATTTAATTTGATGAGATCGGTCGCATAAGCCGTTGCGTGCTGACTCAATTCACCTGCTTTGCCTTCTTATTTCTTTTAGTTTTAATTTTGTTCGCTGAATTTCTTCTCAAATTTCTTTTATCTTGTTCTTCCTTCTTATTGTTGTTGGCTGATGTGCCTTAGGGTTTAAAAAATTTCTTATGTCTTCTTCTTCAACCTTCAGACTTTTAAATTTATTTCCATCTATTGCTTTTAGGCTCTAAAATTGCCACAAATCGAGACCACATTTTGGTAACTGCTGCAAAGTAATTTTGAAACTCTTTTTTTTGCTAAGCACATGGCAAAATTATGGAGATGCCAACAGGTGCTCAAGTTTTGTTTATTTATTATTAATCATAAATGATACAAAATAATAATCATATTGTAATGCAAAACGTTAAGAATAATGAAAGAATAAAAAAATTGGGAACCAACTTAAAACTAAAACTTTTTTGTTGTTCATCAATATGATTTTCATCTTTATAACCAGTATAATTAAGAGGAACAAACTGTTCAACTTCATATGAAGTACTAAAAAGTTTTCTGTAGTCCAAGCTTCTAAGAACAGGTCGAATGAAACCAGCATAGTTTGCATCATTTGTATAGTGAATCAAGGTGATTCCAGATAGCGGCGATTTGATATCAAACGTGACTTCATTACCATCAAAATATGGAACAAAAGACTGTCCTGCATCTTTATCTTCATTACTAATGCCAAATTCTACTCTTCTATTCTTTCCAATTGTAAATTTCGTTCCTGTTGACAATCCAGGAATCAAATTTGAGGCATCAAAATTAACAAGAGATCCGGTTGTTTTAGCAACAACTTCACTTCCTAGTATTCCTCTGTTAAAGTCAACAATTTGCCTTCCAAATATTGACCATGATGCACCAATGTAAGAACTTTGAAACTGTACTCCTTTAAGGATTATATTAAAATCATTTATAAATGTGTTCCTTTCAAAAGAAGCTTACCAGTCACGACAGAATCAGAAAACTTTATTAGCGAAGGATCCCCAAAGTCAATGTCATGCTTATCGTAATCGAAAGTAACAAAACTTCGATCCCTTTCAATTTCAAGCCAGTATATTGAACTTTGATCAACTGTTGCCATTGGAAGTAACTTTCCAACTTGAATTTGAGGATAAATTGCTTTGTTGGCTTCCACAAATCTCATTCCAGTGACGACACTGCAATAAAGTAACACATTATGGTCTGCCTAACTTAGACTATGATTCGTAAACAATAAAGTACTTACTATCCATCTGGTGATGTTATTTTTCCAGTGTAAATTTTTCTTACTGTGTTGCTACTCGAGTACTGATCGCACACACATTTGCAGACATGACAGTTGACAAATCCTCGAGGATATGATTTCTATAGAAGATCAAAAAGGATTGATACATGAAAATTCTACAGACATGAATGTTTTCTTACTTTAGATTCCATATTCTGATTCCTATCATCGTCAATTCCATGTCCATTCCACTTATTGTTCAGAACATATCCTAAATAAATTCGATCAACTTGTGGATTCTGTCTTAAGTATCTTTCTGTGTGATGAAGTGATACTGCAAACTTGCAATCTCTTACACCTCCATTGCATCCACCACCAGAGTATTTGCGGTTCTTGAAATGCTCGCAATCATCTGTACAGGTATCAATGATGCTGAGTTTATCTTCATTCTCCCAAAAGTATTGAATGACATTAATCATCCTGACACTATTTTGATTCCCGTTAATTGAGAAATCTATGAATCCATCCATGTCATTATCGTCAAGCTTGCTGAAAGCTTTTTCAAGGGATGTGAAGAATTTTTCAAATATTTCATTCTTTCGGTAGTGATTGTAACGCCTATCCTCTTCATAATATTGACCCGTGATTGCTGTCTTTAAATTTACAGCACTTTCTAAGATGATATTAGCTTTGAGGATCGTCATGAAAGCAGTTATATAAATATCATAGACTGTCTTCATAGTAGATGATCCAGAGGATCCAAAATTATCTTTATGATAGGAACGACTCAGTGAAATTAAATCAGCAACAATGGAATTGGAAATTCCAGCACCAGAATCGAGAATATTTACTAGCTTTGTATCAGAGCCTTGTTGCCGATAGTCCTCAATATATTTATTCAGCTGATACAGAAATGATGTCGAATTAGAAGTAAAACTGGATATAATAGATTCAAAGTGCTGCTTCGATGCCGCCAAGTCTTCAAGATATTTTACAAAATCTCGGAATTTTACTTCTGAAATAATCTTTTTTGTAGACTGTGTAAGCTTGGAATCCAAAAACGTGATCTGAACAGAATGTTTGTTATTGTCAACAAAATAATAAAGAACTACCAAAAATAGAAACGCAATAAAATTCTTACCTGTTCGGATATGGCGTCTAATTTAGAATCGATTTTATCCAATTGCTTAGTGATGTTCTTCAAATACTCTTCAGTTTCATCATTGTTCTCTTCAGCAATTGTCAATGCAAATTCAAGTAAGTCTCCAACTGGACCGGCATATTTACCGAACTTCTTTGAAATTGATGCAAGTTTTGTGAATCTGTCGCCAAGCTTCTTTCCCCATTCTTTAGATACATCGCTTGATGCTAGGTTTTTGAGGAGAGCAATTGATTCCTTTGATGCTGTGATATCAGACAATTCGGAATGGACTGCCGATAAGCTTAGTATTAAGAATAGAAAGATCTTCATCTTCACTTTTCAGATTGTTTTTCAAAACTGAACAAAAAATATTTCATTTTACAGAACTTGCTAATTTTTATAGAATCACATAAAGACGAAACCGGTATGGACGTCATATTTTGGGAATTTTGGATTCTCTGTTGGCGTTTTTTGTAAACAAATGAAGTGAATCGTGTCGCAGAAAATTCTTCAAATTATGCAAAATACATTAATCCATTAAAAAATGCATTACAAGCAGCACAAAAATGTGGTAAATGAAGTTCTTTAATCACATAAAAATGAATTTCTTAAAGGTGCTTCATGCTTCACTTGTCTGGGATCTTTTTTATGCCTTCTTTAACCTCAAACAAAAAAAAATTAAAGAATAACAAGAAATGAGAATAAAATAAGGCAATAAGAAGTCTCTAAAGATCGTCAGATGTTGATAAGATGTGCCTTGATATTAAAAATTCAAGAAAATGGAATCAAATAAAAGAAATGGAAATGATTGCATCTAAAAGTAAAGGGTTCCATTTCATGCTGATGCACCTCTATTTTTCTATTCTTACTAGCTTTGTGACTCGTTATGTTCAAATTTATGATTACCTTCGGGTTTGTAAAGCTCAAGAAGACTTCAAGAGTTAAGCCTTAGCAAGCCACAAATAACAGACAACTAATGGAAATTATATCAAAACTAATGAAAACATCATAAAAATTTTCCCATAAACTCATCACATGCTGCATTCAAAGTAAGAACAAATTGTTGTCTGGTGACAGAAAGTCAATTTCAAGTGGATAGTTCCAATAAGACAGTACATAAAAAAAATTGTGAAGATCCACTTGACAATGAAGCACTTGAGATGATGATTATGCTGACTATTTAACATGTCTGATTGAATTGAGAAGAGTTTAAGGAAATTAGAAGGCAATGAGCAGCATAGAAGTAAAAGCAGATGGTTTAAGAGTATTAAATAAATAACAAAAAGTCTCATAATAACAAATAAATGATGAAAAGGTGAAAATGAAATGAAGCAAGACGAGGCGAGACTTACAAGACTTTTATTTTTCACATAATCATCACCGATTGATGCACAATGAGACGATAAATGTTTCACCAAACATGTGCACCTGAGTAATTGTTCTTATTTGAACAAAAAAATTACCTAAAATTGAGCCATATTGTTCCATGTTGAGTTCTACACAGTCAAACTAGAACTTCGAAAGGGTCAGAGAAGGAATGGAAAAAATATGGGCAATAAAAATTGTTCAGTGGACACACATGAATGCACATCACATTCACTTGGTTTATGAGAACAATCGATTGATTAATTCTAAACATTTAACATTCATGAAAAATATGTTGAAAGACATTAACATGAACATGAGCAGCTAGGCACGCATTTTAATTCATTTTTTTTTTGTGGGTGAAAAACGTCAGAAAATTTTCATGGAATTTAAAATTATGAGAAAAAAAGTTTTTTAATTGCCGAACATGAAGTAAAATTATGCGTAAGGAATCAAGAAAAGCATAAAAATTTATGTACAGCATAAATCATGAAAAATTTTCACACATTTTCAATAATTTTGTTTATGTTGCATGCTCAATTCTGTTCATTTCATCACAATCAAGTTCATTGCTTGTTTAATGATTCGAATCTTCTGTTTATTGCTTTCAATTATTTTTATGCTGCTCATTCATTACTTTTTGTTGGTTGATAATTAAGTTAAAGAGATTCAGAATGTCAAGGTTGAACTTAGTCACTTAACAATCAAGAATTACTTTTTGGTGCTAAGTCTCAAGATGTTTGACAATCTTCAGTATGCGAGCAATGTTCTAAGTTTTGTAGACTAGAAATTCTCAGAATCTCACCTGGAATGAACTCAGAAATTTCAAGAAGAAGTTCATAAAGTCTTTGTCCAATTCCTTCTTTTCATCGCCCATGCTCATCACATAATCAATGAATGAAGCGTCAGATCAGCATGAATCTATGGCTAATGCCGTTATTAAAAATCGTAAACAGAAGAGAATGAAAAGCACAGTTCAGACACGAAAGTAAGCAGCAACATAAGTAAGCGTACTTAATGTAATTTTGGAAAACATAATCAATCAATAGACAACGAGCACGTCATTGACAGCAGTGACTAGAAGCTGAATTGATGATCAATTTTGGATAGACAAAAAGAGTCAAGAGAAATCCACAGGAAGTTATGAAACAGCACAAAAACTTGGAATTTAATTTTATGCAAGTTCAAAAAAGAAGTCACTTCCATTTCCATGTCTCAAGTTGAGTCAAATTCCATTCACAGACTATTCTGATTAAGAAGAACTGAATAAGCCGTGCATGAAACTTTCAATTATTACTCAATCTTCTCATCTCATTTCAATGTTCGCGTAAGCAATAATCAGCAACATATAGTTATTGCTGATCATCATAGTCTCGTAATGAGGATGATGTGATTAATGGAATAATCATTAAACTCAAATAATAGCTAAGCAACAAGCAGAATCTGCTTTTATTTAGAATTTTTTTTATTGTTGTTGCTGACTTTGCCTTCTTAGAATTCTTTCCTTTTGCCATTTTAAGAATAAGTTGTGAATTATAGAAATTTAATTCAATTTACTTGCCTCTCCTTTTTGTGTGTGCGCGTCTATGCAGAAATATTTCATGAAGCACATTAAGGAACACACAGAAGAATAGACAGACATAACAGAATTATGAGTGAATAAATTTGGCATTTATGAGTTCCCATTTAAAGAACGATTAGCATTTCAGATCATAAATCTAGTTTTGAGATCCAGAATGGATTTTTTATGCCTTAGACAAAAGTTCTTGAATATCTTCGGAAATAAAAATTATGAATCACATTAGAATCTCATCAACAGCACCAACACTTGACTGTGAATCTCATTATTCATTTGCTGGATTCTTTGTTTATAAAAAGTTATGATTCAGAAGAGCTTTGTTCAGTTCCGTTTGTGTAAATATCCAGAGTGCGTTCATGCAACATCATTAATTCAAGAAATTTTTCATAATCATCGTAGTTCAATGTCTATTCCTTCCGGGTTCACTAGTCATCTTTATGAACACAATTCACTTCCATTTAATTCCTTTACAGTGAGTATCATCATCAAAGTCAGTTCCATGATTATTAAAATGTGGCTTCAGCATTGAACTTAATGTTATGAAATCAATTAACATCCACACTCATGAAGTTTTTCCATTTTTTGTTGTTTCTGTAATGTCCACTGCAGATGCTGGAAACGAGTTTTAAGGAAGCATTTTGCACTTCATTAAAAAGCAGCAATGCTGAAAGTTTTTCAATTGATTTAGAAGCAAAAAATGCGAGAGAAATTTTAACGACAGCAAGAAACAGCATAAAATGAGCACTTGTGGTCAAGCAGCACGCGCGAGTTCCAAGAAGAAGGAAAAATAAATAAAAATAAAATTAATCCAATTTCTTCACTTAGTGCTGCATACCATTTGTTCTCGTTAGCCATTCAATTCACGTTGGATAGAAATCAAGTTTTGAGATGAAGCAGAATCTAGAATTGATTCAGCATAAATAGGAGAAATAGGAACAGAATGTGTAAGCACACATGCTGAGAAGAATTGATTGTGGAAGCATTTCGAATCAGTTTTGTAGAAGCAGCAATAAAATTTCAATTTCATTCAGTTGTGTATGTCCAAGATCACTTTTGGATCTTTTATGTGTCCAGTCTCTCTATGACTTAGTTTGTCATAATGAGGCGTGAAAAATTTTGAGTTCATTTCCATTTTTATTCGCTCATTTGAGTGGCATTACTTGCCACTTTTTGCTGTCTTGCCTTGTTTATCTTACATTGAACATACATTTGAAAAGTAATTGGAGTATTTTACATATTTCAAGTACCAGACATTATGCAATGTCATTAGTCAAAAATCTTAATTAACGCACTTTTTTTGTTGTTAAAGCCGACAAGGAATTTCGTTGTTTTTGTTGTTGCTGCTGCTCGAATGGGCGTGAAAGAAAATTTCAAACTTAATTTTTTGACTATTTAAAAATCATTTGTGGATGTCCAAACTGAAAAGATCAAAACAAGAATTAAAACATTTTCTTGCTTCATCTTCTTCCTTCGTTCCTTCAATCAATCACAAATGCTACACGTTTTAAAATATTTGAGAATCAAGAGACACAAAGGCAACAATGTTAAATATAAAAATCTTGAAATCGATCATTCCTTGAAATATTCTATGCTGTATGTCTTATTTTGGGTTGAATGCATATAAGAATAAATGTCTTGGATGAATAGGAACACTTTCTATGCATTTAATTAGATTAATTTTTGTGGTTGAATTGAAATGATTTCCTTTAAGGAATGCAGTAAAATCCTTTTGATATATTGGAGTGAAAAATCCTTTTGATGGATCAATTCAGTTCCTTTCCTTACATTTATCATGACTTTATTTGGTTCTTTTGCATTCTTTTGTTGAAATTTTAATTCAATTTCTAAGCCGATTGATGAATTTGGAAGCTGTACTTTAATTATAAAGGAACATTCCATTCCTCGACGATATTCATTATTTTTGCTACAACTCTAATTAACTTCATATTGGAAAGTGTTAATGACCAGAGTGTCAAAATACTAACAAATTGTGGACATTTTAACAAAAGAGAATCATTTTTCAAATCAGGAATCAAACAATGCCTCAATAAAATGTAACAAAGAGGAGCACAAAAAATATTTTAGTATCAATTGGATAGAGTTTTTAGGCTAAGAGGATAAAAAGAGAAGTAACAAGAGGCTTGAGTCTGTTTTATGGAGAAGAAAATGGACAAGAAGAAGAATGGAAACAGAATAGAAATTAAGATCCAAGTTCTTTTTATATTCTTTCAATAAATATCGAACGAGAATCGAGAGGAGAACAACAAGCACAAGAATATCATCAATTTATACTCGTAGCTCGTGTCTGTGGATTGAAAACGAGAAGAAATGCTGTAAAAAAAAGACTGCAAACGCACAAAGCAACAACAAAATGTTATTTTATAATCATCATGATCAGCATCAGAAGCATTTAGCAGACAACAGCAGCAAGCGAGCAAGAAAATAAGAAGAATTGAAGAACAAAAAATCATTTAAAAGATTTAAATCACAATAACAAGAAGACAAGAGAATAAACGAAGGCAATATTGGAGTATGGAATGAAGTCAGTCAGAAAATATAAAGCAGCTCCAATTTTCCATCCATTCTTCTCGTATCCATCACGAAATACTTGTGTTGTTATGAATAAAAATATTAATTTGAGATTCTTATCGTTAAATGATGCAGCAACAATCCCAAAAATTGGAGTAAATCGAGTGCTAAACTACTTCATGTCCAACAACATTTCTGAGACAAGAATGAGATTTTCTCTAATAAAGACTTCATGCTGTTAATTAAAGCACAACAGAAGCTGCGAGAAATATTTTTAATTTAAATATTTAAACGGCAATTAAGGCTGAATGTCTTCTTATTCTTATTCGATTCTCATTCTTATCAAATATTTTTTTCCCATTAAATTCTGAAAGATTCTGTACAGCATGAAGATGATGAGACATGAATCAATGGACATAAAATTATTCATCATCATCACGCATGTATGCTTCACAAATGGCTGCATCTCTCACACTTAATTGGTATAAACAAACAATGATGATGATAATTTGAAATTCTTCTTCATAACTTTTTTAATGATTTTCTTAAAAAACCTTTTAAAGAACTAAAACCTTTCATTCCTGTGGCCATTTATGACGCAATCAATTCAATTCTTTTAGAATTTTTATGCCTTTATGCTTCATCAATTTCAACGCATTCTGAAGCGATTTTCGTAAGCGATTCTTTCAATATAAATGTTGATATAAGGAACAACAGAAAGAATCAACTAATCGGATTTAACAGAGGAAAATAAATACTTTTCGACTTTAAACCGCACTAAGAACTCGAGTTGGTCATTCAAAGATAATAATTATGTTCATCTGCGCTGTGTCGTTTAAGGTGTTAATAGAATTATAATTGTAAGTACTTTTTGTAGATTTATCATTGAATTCAGAGATGTAATTTGGCTGTAAAGATTTAATTTTTGCGATAAGCTTAGATGTGAATTTTAATAAGCATTTGTGAGACTAGAGGAATAAGTTAAAGTCTTGCTTTATGATCTAATGCTTTGGAACTTGAAATTTGCAATGCGATTCAAGCAAGATTGTTTTGGAGTTTGAACCAATTTTTTGATCCAAAGAGTAGCAAAAGAACTGGACAGCAAAATTTATGCTTTAGACATCAAAAACGCTTCCGAAAACTTAATTAACGATTGGCTATAAAATGTTTAATCTATGCAAATTAAGAAATCTTAATGATGCTCAAGCATAAATCAATGGTTTGGTATCAACAAACTCTCGGTGTGCATATAAAGGCAAAAAATAGATCAAACAGAACAGAATGTGATTTAAATAAAAATGTATAGTCCTTCAGTTAACATAAAAATTTCCATAATGAATTCAAATAAAATTCATGACATTTAAAAAGATCTCCAAAGGCAGTTCTAATATTTCATGACAACTTTGTAATATTCTTGTTACCATAATTAATTTTCTGTTCTATTCACATTATGCAGCCATCAGCATCTCACATTTCAATTACTTTTGTAAAAAGAAAACTTATTCAAGCTATTGACGAAAGCAGTTCCACAGTGACGATGATGATGTCATTCATGAGATGCAGATAAACAAAGACTTGGAGATGGAGAAAAAAAAATTCCCTCAACACGACAAGAAATGAGAATTTAAATATTTATTTAACTGACTTGGGTATTAATATGCGTTACTTACAAATTCAGCACGTATTGTGTTTACAAAGTATATACGGGAAAATAAGGCATAGTAATGTTGTCGATGATTATAATAATAGTAATGGAAGCTTTAAAGAAACCTGTTTGAGTATTTTGTATGTGAATGTGTAAGTTGCTGATCGGTGACAGGACTTGATTTTTGCTTTGACGTGTAGATGGAGCTTAAATATGAAATAACAAGCTTCTGAGTAGCGATAGATTCTGACTTTGAATTCGACTGTTGAGCACATTCTTGGTGTGAATGTAGAAATATTAAAACAAAAAGTTTAAGCTTATTTACTATTTCTAGGTGTCTGAATGCATTTTAAATAAGACGAAAGTTGTAGAACATCCAGAAAATATGAAATGAAGCATCATGTCCATTAGACTAGTATCAAAGGAGGGTCAATCATGTAATTTCAAAAATAATTAAAGCATAATTTTTAATTTCAAAAATTTATGTTTTACATGTTACAAGTTCAAACTTATTTTACAGGTTTCATATTCCATAATCCGTCATTGAGATAGTGACAATTTTCTACGCCGATTCCTTTGTTGACTTTGGCTCTATAAATTAAAGATCTCGTAAATTAAATGTTTAAGAACTGCAGAGGAAGTGACTTACATGTCAGCAGTGGATAAAGTAGTGATTCCGATTGCCAAGCAGTTTTCTTTTCCTTCAGCCATAATTGCAACAGCAGTTCCTTTTTCCACAGGAGTCATAAATGCTCCTTTTGATGTTAATCCAGGACACATTATATTAGCACCGCTAAGTACGAAACGAATAGCTCCTTTATCAACTTGTTGCTTTGGCAGAAATACAGGAAACTTGTGATATAGCCTTAATGTTGGCATCCTAAAAACAACATCAATTTAGTTCCAGTTATGATTTGTGAAATTTTAAAATACTTGCCAATTTCCTTCTCTGCTTCTAAAGAACAACTGCTCACCAGCAGAATTAATCAGCAACTCTACATGATCATGGCTGTAAAAAGTTCTGATAGGTGAATTTTCTCTTATTAATTAATGAAATCTTTCATTTGTTTACCATTTTACTATTTTAAAGAGATCCTTTTTTGGGAGAATGCCTTCAATGTAATCCTCAATATGTGGATATGTCTCAATCAGTTTACTTCTAATTGCCTTTTGGACCGAACTTTTGAGCTGTGTAGTGCCTGAAACACTCTCTTTTTCATCAAATTTCTTAAACATTCTTTATCGCCGATTTTTTACAGCACTAAAAGTTCCAAGGACTGAGCACTTGAAGTATGATGCTTAGAGCATTTTAACAAAACATTATTTTCATTTCAAAATTTGACAGTTGATTGAATCAGTCACATGTTAATTCACGAATTAGATCTAATAAACTGTAATAAGCATGTTAATTTTAAAGAAATTTTGATTAATTTGAATACAATTGATCTGTGATTATAAGCAAAATATGAATTGAAATTGATTATATAGTAAATTGTCTTAAATACCAAAAAAAAGTCAACAATATTGAATTAAAATTAATGGATTTCCAAATATTGTCAAAAAACATGAATACTTTTATTGGGTATAAAAAAAGTATAAAATAGTACTATCATTAATATAAACGGATAAAAACCTTGAAGGTTCTTTTTTGGAATAACAAACTATTAAATTATTAAAATTTTCACTTGTCACGATGATAAGCAGTATCACTTTTTATCTGTTCCCACCTAAATGATGCACACAATAAGCAGATAAAATTTACAAATTTAATGTGTGCAAAAATATTAATTAATCCTAAAACTAATTACTTCCTTTAAAATCTTTAAACATAAGTTGTAGGAACTAGTAAAATATCTTTGAGATTATCAGTTTAAAAGCTAATTAAAAACCTTATGCTAATTATAATCTAATTGTCGTTATTTCATTCTTCTCATCTTCATCCTCGTCATCAAATATTTTTAAATCTTTAACATAATGCCACACACCAACATCAACGAGAGTCCCTAAACCAATAAAGAGAGCTGCTGAATAGTTCATGAGATATCTTAAAGTTTCTCCATCGTAAATCCAACAATTGCCAGTTCCACTACATGTTTTTCCAAACACTAAACACGATCTAATAAAGTCATAATTAAATAAGTAAACAGCTTTGACCATACAGTAATACTCACTTGTCAAGTAAATATCCGAACAATATAGGTGATGGAATGAATGCAAATAAATGAACTAAAGTCGCACCAAGACCAATCGCAACTGATTTGTCCTTCTCGTCAATACATCTAATGGATACCAAGAAGTTGCTAGTTCTTCCTGTCGCTCCAATAAATTTCATTGCACACATTACAGCCAAAAAGATAAATAATTCTCGTTGACAATTTACAGCACATGGTCCTGATATCGCAATCTGTTCATCAATGACTTCATTCAATGAATCTGGATTGTGTGAGAATGGAGTGTAAAAGCTTTCCTTTCTAGATTTTACACATGAACATTCACTAAACTGCTTTGTGCCATTTTTAACATTGATAAGGTTGCAACCTGCATGACATGCTGAAATGTATGTTAATCCATCAGTTCCACAAACTGGCGAATATTTTACAAAATCACAATGACAATCTTGATTGCATGGAACAATCGAGTTTCGATGGATGCTCATTGATTTGTCACTTTCTTCACATCCAATAAATGCATAGGAAATAATTCCCATTAGACAAAGTGATCCTGCTATGATATGCCACATCGCTAGAAATCTTGCAGACGGCTTAAATTTTGAGATAAAAACTCCTCCTATAAGCACTCCAATGCCAGAAAAAACAATAGCTAATGTGCCAGTGTAAAAGCTTGATGCTGACGCTGTTTGGTGATAAAGAGTTTCAATTAACTTTGGTGTGTATATCCAGTATGGAAGGAACCTAGTGAGATGAAAATTATTTTTAATTCAACATAAAATTTAAATATTGGCAGACTTTTATTACCCAAATAAGTGAAGAATCCCTCCAACATTCATCAGCATGAAGACCTTATTTTTGAACAGTCTTTTAAATGTCACAATCATGTCACTAATTGATGCTTCAGTATCACCAACAGACGACTTCTCAACTTGCTTCAAACCACGCTTTATTTTTTCTTCCTCAATACGTTTTCGTACAGCAGATCGTGGTAATTCTTTTGGAAGCATACTTACAGCTAAAGCAAAAAACATCAGCACAACAGCAAAAACAATCCATCCAATGAACCAAGCTCCTATCCAGCGTGGATCTTTATTGTTGATAACAGGTGTCAAATCTGGAGCAATATAAATTTTAAGGCAATAACTAGCAAGAGCGTATCCAAGTGCTGGTCCCAATAATCTCATGAAAAATGAGATACCTGTTGAGAAAATAATTAATGCATGATCTGTAGATTAATATGGATAAAAGCTTACTCATTAACGCCGGAGTCTTTGACTTTTTGATATTATCATCCATGTACGAGATACCGAGTGTAGAGCAGAGAGTTTGACCTACACCAGCTATTAATTGAGCAACAAACAGTAAAATTTGCGGCATTAAACTTCCACCATCAACTTCACATTCTGCAATGCCATCGGTCGCTGTAAAATAATTTTATGAATCACATTATTCATGCATGACACGATTTATAAACACTTACAGTTTCTGCGACACAGCATTTTTCGATTTTCTACAAGCAATGCTTCTTGTGTTTCTTGTTGGTTCTTTGATCCTCTATACTCAACAGTCAGTGACAGACTTTCTTGACCAGCTCCATATAAAAAATGGGGTGATGCCGTCAAAATGCAATAAATAACGATCGCAATAAGTCCGAATGCAATCCAACGTGGTCTGTGCCGTTTGCCGCCATAATATGCTATAAAAGCCGAAAGAAATAAGGAACTCACATCATTTCCAACTGAAATAATTCCCATATTCTTTGAAGGAATTTTATAGCGCTTTTCAATTGTCGTGATCGTTGCATTGAAATAAGATCCAGCTGACGCAAAGACCAAACTAAGTATCCCATAAATAAGCACCAAGACTTTCTTATTTGCAAATCTAGGAGACATAATAAATTAAATTTAATGCTTATTACACATTTCTCGGTATTTACTTCTGTAGTATTGGTCCTCTTAAGAAAGAAATTCCACAAGATGTGTCTCGGGTCAATGGCATCATTTGATAGATGTCATCAAAATTTCCAATGAGCTTGTCATTGCTTAATTGACTAAGGGCATCTTCTATAGTACGTGGCTTATCATTATTTGATATTCCATTTTTATTCTCTCGACTGATCACCATTACGATGGTTTATTATGTGCTTTAGATACTTGCAAAACCTGATTCTCACTTAAATTTCTTTTTACGAATATTTTACAGGATGAAGCAGAAATTTAAACCTCAACCTTTGGAGTTCTGTTGCTGAATGACTGTTCAGATTTTATGTAAATTATAAACAAGAAGCACCGCTACATCTATTTATTATTTTTCTGTTGTACTCAAAAAAAAATACCTGTTGATTGCTTGACTTCTCGATCGTATATGAATAGCGAGACTATGTAAGCATATGACGATACATACATAGCAAATGAATATTAGATCGAGTGAGCTAGCAAAATAAGATATACTCTTTATTTCACGTGATTATCATGATTATGGACGATACACAATTACAAATATAAATATCAGATGATATTATGACACGAAGTATGTTCAATAATTGCCGGAAATAGATGAACAAATAAAAAACTTTACTTTTTTTTCGATTCTACATTCTCATCGCAATTTTTCATTCATTCTGGTCAGAGGTGTAGACAGGGAGGTCACCAAATTTTCTTCTTGTTCGAGGATTCCTTCAATTTTTAAGGCATTTTGAGGAAAAGTGTCTATAAAATAAATTCTGATTAATCCCCTCCTACTCGCGGTTCCAAATTTATGACTTCGCTTCTGATTCTGCTAACACAGAAAACAGAAACAAACAAATATTTATATTTGATTTGGGGCCGTTCACTTATGACGTCCAGGGGGGGGGGGGGGTCAGCAAGAAAAGAACAATAGAAATTCCAGGAAATCCATTGTTCTTTTTTGAAAAATGACCGGATTAATTTCGGACGTCATAAGTGAACGACCCCTTTCGCGATCGTTCTTTTACGATGTCTATTGGAAACTAGGAGGAGAGAGGTGTGAAATTAGAGAAATAGATTTCTTAAAACTTTCATTGTTATTTCTCATCCTCATTCTGCATAAGATAATTAATTAATCTTTAAGAAACTTAAAGCTCTTTCAGTCATACTTTTAGCTTAAGGTGCGAAATCAATTATAAGTCAATATGTGTAAACAAGTCTAACTGTTAATTTGTTGAAAGAAGAAGAGTTTCATGAACGACGCATAATTTTGCATTAAACAAGCTCATGACGAAAGCAAAACAAAAGCAAGCACATGGATGAAGTGTAAACCTTTGCATTGTCAACATAATCTTTGATCTTGGTATTTATGTTGCATGCTTCTAACTGTATGTGTGCCTGTGTTTTGACTGGCGCCTACATAATGCAATCAGTTTACATTTATTATGCCATAAACCAGTTTAAGTCTCTCAACTTGCTCTCAGCTGTACAAAATATCTCTCTTTGTGTTTCACATACCTTTATATCTTTTTTCTTTCTTCTTTGCTGTATTTTAGATCACAACAAACGATTCGATCATCAACAAGTTCCATTGAAGTTTAGTTGCTTGCCTCCACTCGAGTCGCTAGGTCGTGTATTGTTACGATTTTCTTTGGATTAAAGACTCAATATTTTAACTTTTGCGTGAACTTAAAGTGAAGATCGCGATATGTATTGCGAAAAGCTTTTAACAGTGTGCTAATTAATGCTTTTATTAAGTCTATAACATTTAGTCTTATTAGCAATGACAGAAAAAGTAAATTAATTCGATTGTTAACGTAATACATATGGTGAAGTGAGAACACATGTCGTAAATAAAAGAGTAGACGAGAAAAAAAAAGAATATCCAATAATAAAGAAAAATGTGAGTGTTGCTGCTGCCTTTTATTTTTTACTTCATCATGACCTTTGCCAACATATATTTGCAATTCCAACACATTATATAATGACATAAATCGTGCAAATTTCTCAAATACTCTTTTATGCTTGCACAGTAGTCCTGAACGTGATATTTTAAAGTTGAAAGTGAAATATTGAATTATTAGAATTAATTAGCGCGGGTGTTGCCTATTAATATTAAAATGGAAAGTGAATTTACAGTCCAATAAACCACAAACTGTCAAACTGTTAACTAATTTATTTAAATGTTCAACATAAAGGCGAATAATTGCTGGTTCCAGGGAGGGAGTCTTAAATGACCAATTACTACAAGCAACTGAAGCTCAAAGTTGCTAAAGAGGCACAAAATGTTTGACCCTTGCTACATACCTGGCTGGTTTATGCTTATTTTTATTTTATGTCATTTTTATGATTTATCGCTTGAAAACATTTTCGGTGCTTCAAGTTACATAGACATCAACAATGTTTAATAGTTTAATGACTAGCTAGCAATAGATGTGCTGCTCATATGTAATAGATTTTTATGGTTTCCGAAGAGTCTACCATATGAGAGAGTCGATTATAATGAGCTAATAAAAAAATGCAGCTGATGGTGACTTTGCGATTGATGATGATGTTGATGACCAAAGTCTCTGTGTATTTTATTTCTATTGTTTGATTTTTAACACGAATTAAATTACATAAAACTAATGTTTAATAATCATGGCTGTCAAATATCACTCTTTTCGGGTCATAATCAGCTGGCGAAGAGATTAATTTCTTACATAAGATATGGATGGATGCTCTTAGAGGCGCAAAATGTGAATAAATTATCATTTTCAACACATTGCTAATGATAATTTTGAGAAATTTTCTTTTTCTTAATCCATACAAAAAGCTTAAACTTTTCATTTATTTCGTGTGACTTCAGATGTAGTCGTTCACTAAAATGCATTTTATTGCAATCAGAGAATTTAAAGATTTGCATTTTTTATTGCTGCATAATAAACTTTAATAGCTTAGGAAATTTTCTAATTTATCAGTTCTCTCGTGTGCTGCACAAATAGTGATTAAATTAAATCAAAAGATTTATCAACTTTCAATTATTTCAAATTGTAACTTGAGAAATTAAATTAATATTTCACAATTTTTACTTACTCGAAACTTAATGAATGATTTTTAAATTGATTCAGAGATAAAATGAGTGTTTAGTCGACAGATGCAAGAAAAAGGTGGAATAAGTAAGAGTGTACATTTCATTACTTTTATTGGATTGCATCATATGATCATTGATGAATGAAGCATAAGGTATATTATTTCAAGGAATTGAAACTTAATTTTTAAAGTTAAATGTACGAATTATGAAGTCTTTCTGAAGTAGTAAATAAAGAATCTCCAATTGAAATAGTGAGGAGAAGTATAAACAATCTACAGGAAAACATTAAAATTGTAAATTTTTTTTACTTCTTTGAAAATGTGCTTGGAATACAAATTAAACTCTTCAATATTTCTACTAGCAAATTAATTCATGCACAGCCTTACAGACTTGTCGATTTTAAAAACCAATATTTGAAATATATTCTCTGTACAGAAACAAATGATCAATTCTATTAAAACTTATCATCTCGAAAACCACAACTTTTATTTCTTTGTGAATGCCAAACAGTCATTATCCTTGAACAGTGCTAAAAAGATGAATTATGCAACCTTTTTGCAACATAAAGATTACATTATGCAATTCATTTTGTTGTCTTCACTCTCTGACCTTCAATTCTTTTAAAATGTTTTTCCTTGTGTTTTTAATTTATTTTCTTCTTTTTTACTACGACTCTAGTCATTCAATGACATAGAGACCGAGAAAGAAATGAACGTAACGAAAGCAAAACTGTTACGCAGTCATAACAATCATTAGAGTTTAAAAGCTATTAGATTAATTTGGGAATCTTAAATTTTTTTAAATGTTCAGCATCTTTTGGATTATTCTTGTCATATCGTTTATTTGTAATTTAAATTGTATTCATTATTTGAAACATAGGTAGTTGCTTGCCCCTTTTCATATAAATATTCAGCATGTTTACGAACATGAATGATGTTAAGGAAACATAATTAAACAGTTTTTCAAGGATTTCTTTGAAAAAATTACAGAAGTCCTCGTGTTATTGATCGAGGGACTTAAGCGCATTTTTTTGTTAGCGATAAGTATTTGATTATCTAATTATTTTGCGTTCAATTACAAATCATGACAAGATTAGAAGATCATTAATTTTAGTGTAATGAACAACTTTTTATTTAACTGTTTTGTGTATTTCAAATTTTACAACGGCTAGAAAAAATTTGAAATTATAGAGGTAATGCTGAAATTTTAAACGTACTCATCACGTGTTTTTGTTTATGAAAAAAAATCATTAATTATAGTATAAATACATGATTTAAAGACTTTTAAGCATTCGATGGGCCGTTAAATCGATAGTAACGGAGATAATAAAACAAACGCGAGCTCTCTACGATGTCTAATTAAAAAGTTTTTCTTCGCCCGAACAGCCGAACAGCCGAACAAAACGTATTATTAAGCTGCCTTTTAGAAACGAGTTTCAAAAATGCGCTAAAAAGGTTCCTCAAAATTGAGTAAGATTTCCTTAACACAAAGCGCCTATTCAAATCAAGGACTAGCTACTATTTCACAATATAAATTATGTCATTTCAAATTGTGCCATTGTCTTCTTTCTTCAAGAAATTACCTTCGCAATTAAACTCAATTTAATGCGTAACTAAGCTTGAAATTCATCGTAATATATTTATTTATGATTGTTGACTCTTGAGAAAATTATGAAATAGTTTGAATTGCAACAGATTCTGTTTACCGATCATTTGAAATAAAAGAACAATGGATTTCCTGGAATCCAATTTAACAGATCTTTTTTCGTAGTCTGAAGTTCTGCAAAATACATTTATTCTTGAAAACTCAACGGCAAATCAATAGCACTCAAAATGCAAAAAGCAAAAGTTGAATGAAAAAAAAATGAGAGAAAAAAAATTGTCTGCATGAGTAAAAAAGAAAAAGAAGAATGAGATATGAAATAATGAAGCAGGCTGGTCGATCTGGGTTAGCAGTGCGTTTTATTGTTGAATCATTACCTTGGTTAACTTGTTTTTTTTTTTCAATGTTATGTATTCGCAACATATGCACGACATGTCTTGGGCATTTTTTTTAATTGTAGAAAAAAATACCTAGAAAATACTTTATTCATTCATTCTGGGTTTTTTTTGCAGATCTGTGATGCATACATGCTTAAAATTGATATTATTAATAGCTGCTGTTTACCAAAGAAGATCAGTCAATGGACTCGCAATATCACCTCCTAGTTGGTCTGATCCAAATGTCAATCCATGTGCGCGAATGTCAAATGGGTGGCAACATCTTTATTACTCTCCGCTCAAAGGATGTTTCAAAATATTTACTTTAGGATATCCATGTCCTGAAACGATGGAATTAAGTCCAATAAAAAATGGAATGACCGGTTATGGAGAATGTTCTTGTACGCCAGGAACAGTTCAATTAAATAATAATTCATCCTCACCATGCTATAAAATATTTGATCGTGGACCATGCGATGAGGGTCACTATGTAAATCCAGTATCAAATGATAAAATTGTCAAGTAAGTTTCGATAAAATTAATAATTTAAAAATAGCAAAAGAACTTGAAATCTTTCAGAACTAGTCAACGCTATGGTGAATGTAAGAAATTAAAATCTTGTCCACCAAATAAGCTCTTTTATCCAGAAAAGAATGAGTGCCATGAAGCATTAACTCAAGGTCCGTGTCTCAACGGAAAGCTTTTGTACACTGATGAAAATTCTATTCCAAAGTGCACGGTAACAAGCGACATTTAATGCTTCGAGATTTTATATCAATCTAAGTTTATATCCACAGTGTTCAGCTAAAGGAGCGCTTGCAAAATTTTATCACCGTGAAACCAAAACGTGCCATAAACATTTTACTAAAGGAAGCTGTCCACAAGGAAGATTATTCTTGCCTACACAGTCTTGTGGATGCGATTCTTCACTAGCTCAATATCACAACGAAACAAATCAATGTTATGAACTTGGATCTTCAGGTACTGAATAATATTACAGCAACTTATAAACCAGTAAAAATAATCTATAAACTTTAGGTCCGTGTCCGAATCATGGATTTGAGTTTACATTAAATTCTCAAAATGAAAAATATGCAACTTGTCAATGTAAAGCAGGATATGTAAAAATGCAGAATGGATTATGCTATAGAAAATGGACAAAGGGTCCATGTATTGACGGAGAAGTTGTATCAGATGAAAATAAATGCATAAAAAATCCATGCGAAAAGAATTTCCTTTATTTCCCTCAAGAGCAAACATGCTATCGAATTGGATCAAGAGGACCATGCTCGCCTCAACAAGTTGTTGTATTTGACTTTACTGTCAAAGTCAGTTTAGATGGAGTTTCACATAATGGCATGTGTGGATGTTCTGGCATAATTAAAACATTAGATCAATCATGTCTGAAAGAAGATGATGCTCCAAAATCAATGTGTGAATCGCCTTACGTAGAATTCAAAGGTGGCTGCTTCAAACTTTATTCAAAAGGACCATGTGGAAATGGACAGTGGCTAGAACGTGACAAAGATCATAAAGGATCTGGAGCAATTAAGTGTCAATGCAAGCCTGGCTATATGCCTTATGACAATACAGAAACGGAATATGGAGTTAGTGGATGTCTCGGGCCCACAGTTATGATCGCAAGGTTTTTAAATGGCAATAGAACTTATAAATTTGGATTCCAAAGATGGAATCACGTAGACGTTGTTGCATGATCTCCTGCATGTAAAAAATTAACTAAGTAGTGTGTACAAATGAAGAATAATAATTTTTTTATTCACAGGATATTTTATGGCCTAATGGAGTACATCACACCATACTTTGAGAACTAAGTAATGCTGATGAATAAATTCACTAAGTTCAAACAAAATTTCAAGTTGTTCAATTTAATTTCTTTGATTCTTTCAGCTGTATAAATGTTAAAGTTGATTTCTGTCAAATATTCTATTCTGCCTCCCTTTGGCTGTTATTTTTAAATTTGAATTTTTCGACAGTTTGTGAAGTCGACACATTTTTGAATATTTTAAAGCGGTTATTTTTGTTTGAATATTTTGGATTTCATTTTTCTTAACATGCTTTCTTATAATGATTTACAAGTAAAATAAGGATTATTTCAGATTATTATTAAATTGAACACGTGCTACATGTTGATGGTTGAAGCAGTAACGCAGCTGTAGAAACACGAGGATCATTAAAATACTTTCCCCTTTTTATTAAAGAACTTTTAACCAAAATTTTTCGTTTTATATAGTATTGTCTCACAGCAGCAACAGATACTTCCTTTCTAAAACTTGGACATAATTTATGAACGACACATTAAGAAAATTTAATTTTAAAATATATTAATCTTAATTGCAATTATTTTGCATTCAAAATATCTTAAATAGATTAGAACTAGTGCATTATTTTTAGGTAAGAAAAGATCAAAGAACAGCAATCATAAGAGTAATAAAAATTATGAGTTCCCATCATTAAATTGAATTTGAATGTTCGTTGCTTTTTGAAATCTTCCGACAAATTTTGCCGCTTTCATCTGAAAACAGATTCAATGTTTGTATTTCATATGAGAATTTTTCAGAAGTTCTCTTGAGAGAATTTCTAAAGAATTAGTCTCAAGTGGAATGCTTTGTTGGGTTTTGTTATCAAAAAATAAAAAACTCAATGACTTATGTCCATTTATAAATAAATTCTATTCTTGTAAACATCAAATTTCTGCAGATCTAATAACAATGTCAGAAAATTCAATTACCTTATGTTCCTTGCCTGTCATGCGGTTTCATCAAAATGTTGCGTGTAATTAAATGTACAGAAAAAATTAAATCAAAACACCATCATGCTGCACTGTATCCATGTCTTTCTATTTTTGTTTTAATTTTTTTTCTGTTTTTCTTATTTCTAAACAAACTTTTGCCTGAAAAACAAATCCCAGATGTTAACAAGAAAAGAGAAATAAAAATCAAATTCAAATTAAATAAGGCTGAAAGGAGTGCAAGATGAAAAAGACTTCTTTTAAATTTAAAATATTCTCGAGTTAATGTATTTTTGTACAGATTTTACCTTTTTCGTTTATCGTGAATTAAATGAACCTTAAGTTTTGATCAATTTAGGAATCATTCATAAATAAAGTCATTAGAAGGGATTTAAAGGTTTTTAATATTATTTGAAAAATGATCATCATTTTGTTGCATCGGATAAACCTATCGATCGTTCAGAAGAAAATCAAATTTAATATCTAGAAAAAATAATTTTAATAAACATTTTAAACAAATTTCTAGATTTGATTCTGATTCTAATCTCATTTGATTCTTTAGTTTTTGATTAGCACATCCGAAAATATGCATTATAAAAATTAGACAAATAATTAACAAAATGAAATATTTATACATTTAAAGTGCTTATTCTATTTAAGAATTTGATTACTACATGATAATATTTGATTTAAACATTTTGATTTTCAATAATAAATTAATCATAAGAACATTTCTACAGATGCATTCACATCAACTTTGATTTGACATTCATTGTTATTTATTGCATATCGATTGCCCTTCTTATTCCTGAGAACCTTATCTGCACAAAGTTAATCGTCTATTCCTCTATATACACATTTCCAGTTGGCATTTTCTTTATCGGTGGTGATTTTTTCTCCAATGAATTGTTTAGTGATTCCTTTCCATCTGTAAATAAAGATAAGTTTTGTCAAATATTTATCGACATACAAAATTATTTGAATATTTTGTCAAGTTCCATTTCCAAATCAAGCATATTTTATTATTCAAATTAATTCCACAAATGTCTCATGCAATGAAGCGAATAAAAGACAGAATGAAGAACTCCCAAATGCATTCAGAATATTAAAATAAGACCTTTTAGTGTCTTTTTAATTTGCATAAAATTTTAATTTGATTTGATATCGATTAAACTAAATAAATATAAAGTTATTTGTATTTAAAGTCATTAAGTAGATAAATTGGGTTGCTTTCTGCTTTTGCCAAAAATCCAGACACTAATGACGCACGAGAAATCAATAAATTGAAGTCAAATTAAAACATTAGTTTGAATTGTATTATTCTGGAAAAACTCAACATTTTCGACCAAAGAAACATTTCGTAGGAAGATCCGATCAATATAAAATAAGGAAGCTTTTCCGTAAACTATGAATCATTAATTTGCTCTACTTCCTAATAATCTGCATACTATCTTCCGCCTGTGAAAATGAGTTTTTTCTTTACTTCAAATCAGAGTTGCGATATAGGTTTCCTGTCATAGGCACATGTGAAAGATCTGTCACAGATATTGTCTGTTAACAGGTAGTGCATGTGGTACAGATCTGTTATATCTGTGGGCAGATTTGACAGATCTGTAACTGTGACAGACGAAAAAAGGATTGCCTGTCAAAGGCACTTTATGGTAAGTGACAGATTATTGCCTATGACAGATCGCAACTCTGTTTCAAATTGCCAGGAAAAAGATAAAATCAAGAAGATTTTGTGTTGTATTTAAAATAATAATTTTCCCTCCTCCGTTTCTCTTATTCAAATATAGCACCAACAACCATTAACATCCGTTCGTAGTGAACAGTTTGCGCGAAAAAATAATAAGAAGAAGAGAATGAATAAATGTAAACAGTCAGTACAGAAACACTTTACTCGTAATATTCATTTGCAATTTTCTTAAAACAGATCGTAAAAATAAGATTTTTTTTTTTGTTTAAATTTTCTTTTTTAGGATGAACAATAAAAGTCAATATCAAATTTTTCCATTACAAAATGATCTCACAATTTTCAAGCTATTTTTAAGTCAAAATTTTTATAACTTCGGAACCAAAAGTTCTATAACAATCACAGTTTGTAAACTAGAAACATCGTTGATCTCATAAATACATTATGATTAGTTAAATGTATGTAAACGTAAATTAAATTATGAATGGATGGGTTAAGTGCCGATTATTTACACTTGAACATTAGTCGATTTATTAGTTAAGCAGTAAATATGAGAATGAAGGGGGGAAACAACTTCATGGAAAATAAAAAAATTGTTTGAAATTTTGATGAAATTTACCAAAATTAACCACGTTTCACCATTTTTTACAATACTATTAATTATTTTTACAATAATTATTTTTCCACAAAGCTGTTGTCCCCCTGATGCGATGTAAAGGAAGAAGATAGCAAGTGTGTTATTCGTGCATAGAATAAGGGAGTAAATCATTCTTAATTTATCAATTTATGAACATTATTGGAAGTTCTGTCACATAAATTAAAATCTAAACATGCAGGCAGTAAGGGAAATAGAATTTATAAATTATGCATGTAAAGTGACTAGTTGAAAGGGAAATGGTTATTTGTAAATGAGTTAAATGCACAAAACCACAGAAATCTTACCTAAAATATCATCTAAATAAACACAACATACTTCGATTTGTCTCGGACCGAAACGGCTGTTCCTTGTCGTTGGATCATCAATAAAAATTGTTGAACTTTCTGTTGGTGGAACTGCTAATCTTGCCATAAGTTGTTGTGATAATTGCTCAATATCTGAAAAATTAAAAGAAATCGTTAAAAATTATTTTTTATGTTTGTGTCATTTGAGCGTAAATTGATCCCCGCCCTGATATTCGAGATGCTGTTATTCCTTTTATTTTCGCATAAGAATCACTCCAAATTTTTAACAATTTTAGTTCTTAATGAATTAAAGCCACAAAAAGATTTTGTTTTTTTTTGCCTTTTATGGATAATTGAAAACATGTGGAAGGAAGAAAAATCAGAAGCATCAGCAACGATGAGGAACACTTTTAGCAAAAAATATCGTCAACTCAATATATATTTTTTCCTAATGCATTTTGGGGTCGTTCACTTATGACGTCCATAAAAAAACTGATTTTTAGACCCCCCCCCCCCCTCTGTCACAAAAATTCTACAGAAAAAAATTCCATTGTTTGAACTGTCACAAAATCCTAAACCCCCCTCCCCCTCCTAAATGTCGGACGTCATAAGTGAACGGCCCCTTTATGGGATGGACGATAGTCACATGTGTTTCATATCATGCAGTAGCTTTGCATACAATAACATCTTAAATGTCAAAATCTGTGACACAAATTTTTGAAAAATCTGTCAAATACCTTCAATCCATTTCCTGTTAAGGATTGGGCATAAATGATGTCCAGCATGTGGATTGGAAGGCGGAAGAAGAGTTTCTAAGATCTTGTAAAGTTTTCAAACAAAAGAAACAACATTGACGCAGAGAAAATTGGATTTTTTAATGACGTCATTTATGAACAACCCCTGTGTCAGTCACAACTTTTAATAGAGTAAATTATTTTTTTATTGTCCAAAAAACTTTAAAGAAATTGCATAATAATTTCAGTCTCATTGTTTTCTTTGGAATAAATTATCAGGCTTAGAACAAAGACATGTTCCTGACCAAAAATGCTTGAATTAAGCGATGAGTTTGGATCTTATAGCTGAATTATTTAATAAACAACAACTTACCTGTATCGAATTGCTTTTTGATCTTGCGCCACTGTCGAACATAGTTTAAAGAAATAATTGCAGTAACAGCGAAAAATAAGAAGCATGCAGCAATTGCTAATATCAATGTTACTAGCTGCCAATCCCATAAAAGCATTTCTTGCTCTCGTGATTCAGATTCTTCTGATGCTGAAAGGGATTCCATTGTACTCATCATTCTTTGGTGCTCCTTTCTTACTAATGTCTTATCAGTAGCTATAATCATCGATTTATTCCAATCAATATCAACTGAATTAATTGGTCGGCAAATGGTATCTAAATGTCGTTGACATGGACGGATAACAATTTGATGACGATTACATCTTGTACATGGCACACATTCATCTAAATTTGAATCCCAATATTCATGATGTCTACATATTGAATTTGCTATTGTTAATGGAAATGAAGATAAAACTAATAATACTATAAGAACTTTAATAATTCTTGGATGACTATAATGATGGTGGTATTCTTTTCGATGTCGTTGATGACTTGAATTTTCATAATTTTTTGAATTCTGAAATAATAGAAATGAAAAAAAAAAATTTATCTTTAAAATGTTTTTTGCATCATTAATATTCTTTCAATTTCAACATTGAAACATGCTAGGTATATGAAACTTTATCAATAATAAGAAAAAAATAAACAGGAAGCGGCAATTATTTTATTGATTAATTACTTTAGTCATTTGTAATTCCATCCATTTGTTATTATTTTATGCTCATTCATTACTGTTGAATAACAAATATTATATTTGATTCTTATTCTGCATAATCAATTGCTTGCATGTTGAAGAAAAGCATACAATGTTATTATGGAATTGATTACGCACAGGTGCGTAACCAGGAATTTGAAGACGAGGGACAAAAAAAATTTTTGTATGGAAAAATTTAAGGGGGGGGGGGGGGTGTATTTTTGTGATTTTCTCATAAAAACCATAGCAAAATAAAGAAATTTCTGTTTACGTTGGTGGATTTGTCCCCCGAATCCCCCCCCCCCCCAGGCTACGCTCTTGATTATGCATAAACAAACTCCATCATTGAAATGTGAAAAGAAGTTCGGTGAACTTAGAAGTTGATGTTTTTGGATTGTAAGATGCGATTGTTAATAAATTTGGGAGAAAGGTTTGGAGACAAGCTTTAGTATCATTAAAAAGATAGTTTAAACTTATCAAAATAATTGGAACTGACGAAGTTAAATTGCAATTGAAATTGGAAGTTGGCAAGTGGTCGCCAGCGATAGAGACTGCTTCAAACGCCATCTAAGTGAGGCTAAGGATCACTATTGATCTATTGGGGGGAGAGGGTGTCAAGAAGTATGTAACGTTCTAACTGTCGTCTGTCTTTTAAAAAAAGTTCACCAAAAAAATTTGTTTACAAATTCGCACCAAAAACATTTTTTTAAATTTTCCACCTTTTTAATGATTTTTGAATGTCCAGATCACTTTTGATAGCTAAGCAATACAAAGTTTTTGTTATATTAAGTAACAAATCAATAGAAAACTGGTTTACAAGACTTTAAAATACAATCATAATACCTATAAAAAACTAGTGTATCGGGTAGAAACCAGAGGGCGAAGTCGACTCAAAATTTGTATGAAGTCGAGTGAACTCAAGTCGACTTTTCCATACAAAATCCGAGTCGACTTCGCCCTCTGGTAGAAACCCAATGCAGATATATTCACACCGTACCATCAAAAGTCTTATGGATAGACCAAAATTTGCTTAGCATAAGCTTGAAGGTATAAAGCTAACGAATCTGCTGAGCTTTGCTCAGCATAAGTTTGAATGTATAAAGCTAGGGAGTCAGATGAGCTTCGCTCAGCATATGTTTGAAGGTTTAAAGCTTAACGAACATTCTTTGAAAGATTTTTAAAATTTTTTTTTCATCCAAAGTTGAATTTTATAAAAATCACAGTCAACTTTTTTTTTGAAAAATTCGTGAGAAAGGAAAGTTTTTTGCTTTTTCTGAAGCAACGGCTGTTCTTACCTTGCCCAAAAATAAAACAGCTCTTCTATAGAGCAGCACGGATCAAATGTAAAAAACTAGAAGTCTCTACGATGTCTCGTCATTGAGATTTCTTGCTGATTAACTTGCTTGCTTGCTTGGGGGGGGGGGGGGTGTACATATTGTAACAAGGGGGGGGGGGGGTGAAAAAAAACGTTTTTTTGCGTAACGTAATAAGTGAACCCCATAGAAGCTGGCGATATTTGGTGGTATACCGCCTAGTTTTCGAGCCTAGATCAAATCATTCATGACTCTAATTACTCCAATTAATTTTGACTTCTCTTTTGATTTTTTTATTGTAAAACAAATTAAAGTATTTGAAAATAAAACTTCAAAACTTAATATTGACTTGAAATTGGTAAGTTTTTCCTAAACTGAGTGTTTTAAAATAAACGAGCTATATACTTACATTTTTTGTACATTTTTCACACTCATCCATGGTTTCAGCAACTAATTTATATTCCAAAGTATTTCCACCAATAACTTTCATAGCATTTTGTATTGTCAATTTAAAGTAATATTCCTTAAAGTGTATTTCAAACATTATATCTTTAATAAATTACAAAAGTAATTTCATTTCTATATTCACTATATCAAAGGATCAACTATTTATGCATGCCTTGAATTTTTGATTAACTTTATCTTTTTACAATAATTTTCACTAAAGTCACAGCAATTTTATTGAGATTTCAGATGAATATTAAACCACAATTTTGTCACAAGAAGCATTCAATCTTTTCAAAAGTGTTTATTCACTAAAAATAGTGTGGATGATGCGATTTATTCTCTGCCGTCAATAAATATCAAAAATCACTTCAAAAATCACAAAAAAATATTTCTTTGTGCTTATTTTTTTGTCAAGAAAAATAATCAACGATTTGTCTCATCCAAATTGACAAGTGTTTAAATCTTATTTTTTACACAAAAAAAAATTAAATTTCTTTCTCGCAAACAATGAGTGATCGGTGCTTAATGTACATGAGGAAAAATACGTCCATTCGATTTCAATTTCTCGTAAAAACTAAAAAAGTTTCTGTGAGTAGAAAAAAAAGAGGCACTAGAAAGGTTTATATGTATGCAAAAGGGAAGAGAGTGTAAACAAAAATTATTTTTTTTTGAGTTGCATTCGACACATGTGAATCAGTTCTCTTATTTCTCTTGTAAATTTTAATTGGGTTTTCTCTAATTTATTAAATTTTTTTATTAAATAAGTTTGAATTTGATCTTTGTAAAATCTCTTTTTTGCATAATAATTCAAGGCCGTAATAGTTGTTCTTAAAATTCTCAAATGTCAGCATCTTAAGTGCTCTTCCTCATATTTCTTACTCGCACAAATGCTTTTCTCTCAGATGATCCTACAAGTAACAATAAATTGATTGTTCTTATTGCTGCAAATTAAATTAAATAGAGAAAATTTTTAATGAATGAATTTTTATTGTCTCAATTGCAGGCAATAAATAAGAACATAAAAAAAAATAAAACAATGATTTCATTTGCATACTTGTAGAAAGAATGATCATTGAGTATTCGCGCCAAAAATATTTATGTCTCAATAATTTTATTTTCTTGCTTGTCTTAAATGACGAGTCTTTGAGTCGACATAGTATAACAGAAAATGTCTCATCGTAAATTATCTTTTTTTTTTTGTTACTAGTTTTTTTTAAAAAATAAAATCACAGACACAAAAAAAATATTCAATAAGAATTTTATGTTTACTTTCATTGTACTGAAGACTTCATTCTTATTGTTTACTAGAAGAAATAGGAAAAAAAAATTAAAGTCTGGATCATATAGCATCACATGTTGTGATTTTTAACCATGCGTCGAGCTGTAGAACAAAAATATACATACAATGTCCAACATGTGTTGCAAAGATCTCCTAATATATTGTTATTTTTATTTAGGATTATGTAGAACATGAGAGATGCAACAATAAATCCGAGTGATAATGAAGGGCAAAGACGATTTTAACAGATCAAATATATTTTAACAATCGTTGTTGTTAATAGGCTGTTTATTTATAGATAAATATTATATAATGCCTATTTTTAAAACTGATTTTAATTTAGTGTAAACAAAGGTTATTTCACTTAAATTGCTGTTATTTAGGAAAGAGTTTTGGAATTAAGTTTAATATTTTTCGCTTAACATTCGATATGCATTGTTTTAAATTTTCTAAATCCATTCAAACTGAATAGGGTTTTCAATCCCGGGATCCCGGATCCCGGGATCCCGGGATCCCGCGTTTTTTTTGGTCCCGCAATCCCGGGATTGAAACCAGCTTCAATCCCGGGATTACGGGATTGCGTTTGTAGTTAAAAATTTTTAAAAAATTCTTAAATTTTGTAAAAAAAATCGTTCGCAAGAAATACAAATAATTCAAAATCATTGAAATTTTGATTTATTGCTTTTAAAAACTACAAAACACTACTGACGTGCACAATACTCACTGAAATTTTGTTAATATGCCTCATCACAAAAAAAAATGTAAGTAAGTGACGATTTGTTTTTCTTAATTTTATTTTTACACTTAAAACATAAGAGTAGAAAAAAGGCTCTGAAGAGAGAAATTGTGATGTTTGACGACAGTGGCATCAAAGGGTCATTGCTTAACTTGACTTATGAGTATCTATTAACTGTCAAACCTACAAGTGTGGAATCTGAACCAGCTTTTTCATCAACAACTAATTTTTGTAGTAAACTTCGCACTCGACTACTTCATGATTCTTTGGATCACCTTTGCTTTCTTAAAGCCTACTTTCCAAAATGAAAACCTTATTTTAAGATTATTAGTACTTAATTTTCTTTTTTTGCTTAATCATTAACAATAAACATACATAGAACAAATATAAAATAAGAATTTTTCTCTCAAACGAAGATTTTATGTTTTATTTATTGAAAATTTTAAGGCTTCTTTAATAATCTCTTAATCCCGGGATTCCCCGGGATCCCGGGATCGAGAATTTTCAATCCCGTAATCCCGGGATTGAAAATTTGGACCGGGATTGAAAACCCTAAAACTGAAGTTGAAATCGGAAAAACAAGTCGGGTTTGATAGGAATCGAAACCGAGACATCAAAAGAAGCGATCTCTTACCACTCGATCAGAACTCCTGTCTCTCGACCACCGAGGTACTTATCTCACTTCTGATATCCGTCATACATATACAACCAGTTTCACTGCGAGCCCTATGCTCAGACCTATCTACTACAGATATGCTTTTCGAGCCACATCTACATCTCTTCCCTTTATGGAAGAGATCCCATACTTATCACCAATGTGTACATCTCACACTTTAAATACTTACATTTACCTGATAATGCCTGATAACTTCGTATTTGGTTCTTAGAGCGCTCTCGACTGCTTGTTGGTATCCTACAAAACTGATCACGGTTTATCGATTCAAATTCAAAATAACCGTTGCATAATTCAACATATCTACAACCTTTAAGGGTTAAAAAACTAGCTTTTAACGTTTATTAAAAACTTGAACTTAGTTTAAACTTAACAGAATGACACAAAGATGGCGCTTCAAGTTGAAATTTTCAAGATTTTAATTCCTTTCATTGATATGAGAAGCTATATTTATGAACCTTTAGAATAACTCTTTAACAATTGTCCATATAATAATCAAACCAAGGGTGCGGAACAGATAAATTACATTTTTGATCACTTTTGATCATTTTTGATCACTTTTTATAATTTTTTGTCATTTTTAATCATTTCATCAGTACCGGACACTTGGATCAACCTATAAAAAAACTCATGAATGCAAATAAATCTGGATCCAAAGCAAATCTTACCCTGCCCTCCATAATAAGTTAAAGATTAATTTAAAAAAATTATTAATGAAATTATCCTTCAAAACAGATTATGTAAATGAGCTACTTCTGCTTTCTTTTCTCCATCCACCTCACTCAATATTTTAATAATTCAAACTGTTGCTGATGATTCCGTCGGTCTTCTTATTTACTCTCCGCAATTTTTAATGCGCAATTAGGGAATAAAAACTGCATTGAATTAAAAATGAGAAAAGGGCCATTCCCCAAACTGACATTAATTTATGAACTTATTAAGATTTATTGTTATTTTAAAATAAGACAAAAAGGAAAGAAAAAAAGAAAAGGAAGAAAGAAAAAATTAATGCAGATTTAATGGTTCACTTGGCTATGTAAAATTTTCTCAACGTGACTCAAAGGATTTCTGTGAGTTGAAAAAGGATTAATGTTGATGATACTCCTTCATTTTAATAAGAATTAATTTCTTATTCAATTCCTTCTTATGACCCTTACTCTAATATCAAGAATATCTTGAGTGGTGGATATTAAAAGGACATTCAATGTGGTTATGTGAATAAAATTCTAAAGGATACAAAAGTTTCATGTTACATGAAATTGCCATTATCACTTAAGTCAATTTATCAATTAAAAAAGGAGGGAAAAGGAAATTGTCTTTTCTTATAAAACTTTTATTTAATGCATAATTAATGTCAATTGGCTGTCGTACTTTCTTTTGACATTTTCGATAGTTCTGTGACGTGATAATTTATGTGTTTGCTTTTATTTCAGGGTTGCGATATGGGTCGATGAGTTGAGAACCGTACAATTTCAAGATAATTTGTGAGATTTTATTAGAATTTGTATGATTTTGTTGGAAAAAACCTTATAAATTATCATGGAATTATACGGTTCTCACCTTTGCACAGGTGCCTGTATCGCAACCCTGTTTTATTTTCATTGATTTACGGAAAAAGATTAAAAATTTATTCAAGCTAATCTATTTGGGAAATATACAGTCTATGGGAGTTTGGACTAAAGCTGCAGAACTGTTAAATCACGTCTTTGATTTGTTTAATCAGTTTTGCAATTTTATTTTTGACCCCAAACCTCGGCTTCGCTCCTTAAAAGATTATGATTTTCTAATATTTTTTACTTTACTTCTTTAATTCCAAATGTCACAGCTAGTAAATGTTTTTTAGTTATTTCATTTCTTCTGCGTTGATAATCCTGACAGTTAATCAAGATTTTCATTTATTCTCTGTTGGATCTTACTGCTCCACATATAAAGAAGGGACGTTAAAATAAATAGAAATAAATGATTATGATTGTTGAGACATTAGAAGAATTTATGGCTTGTATACAATGTTGACAATTTGTTACAATTTGAGAGGCTTAGTAAGTCTGGATTGAATGTACATTTGATTTTGTGTTTGCAAAGACACATGTTATGATGTATGGGAATATAGTTTATGATATATTGCAATGAATGAGGACAGAACATTATTGGATCAGGTGCTCAGATGAGATTGTCACTGCATGGACATTTTATAGATGAAAGGCTTACGAAGATGAAAATCATTTTGTTGGTTACTAGCGTTAAGGTCACAGTTGATGATAGAAAAGAAAATTGATGATGTAATTTTCGAGAAAATGGCATGAACTTTCCAATATCATAAAACTTTATTGATATTGCGTGAGCAGGTGAACTTTTTCATACGGTTTAGTTCCTTATTTTTGCAATAACATAAATGTGGATGTTTGTGGAATCGAAAAGAAATTCTTATGGTACGAAATTAGATGATGTAGCAGTTAATCGCTAGTCCACACGAAATTATTCCATTGGGAGTAATTAGATGAAAAGTATTTGCTGAAATTGAGAATTAACTTCAGGGGTCGTTCAGTAATGACGTCTATTCCACATCCTTGTTGTTCTTTTGTCCCAATAATTCAGAACTCTTTAAATCAGTGTTGTTCAAACTTTTTTGAATTCATTTAAAAAAATTCTACGGCACACCAGTGTGCCGCGGCACACAGTTTGGACAACACTGCTTTAAATGAAGCAATAATTAGTGAACGACTTCTTAGTTGAAGTTATTCTGTTTAAGGAAAATTATCAGATATTTTGCAGACCATCTTTAAGTCTTTTATTTATTTTATTAAACTCTTTTAATTTCAATACAAATTTTGAAAAAAATCCCAAAACCTAAACGGTAACCAAAATGACACAAGAGTAATATTTATTTGGAAAAAAAAAATTAATTGCTTTTTAAGGCAATTAAGCTCCATGATTTTATAAAACTCAATTTAAATTATTAATGGCATTTGGGATCCCCTAAAGCATTTTTGACCGCTCAATGTAAATGCCTGTGTATATTGGTGTATATTTGCTTTTTTTAGGAGCTACACATGGTGATACATTGCAAAAGGAAGGAAAGGAGTAAAAAAAATTTGAATATTCAGCAACAATTTTTTCGCACGATAATCCCCTTAACTGCTCATACACAAAATGCTGCTGCAAACCATGCATAACTGGACGAGTTAAATTTATTATCCTTAAAAAAATTCATTTTTCACAATCTCAGAGAGAGAAAAAAATGTTTGTCGTTAGACACTGGTAGGAAAAATATTTGTACATGAGACACATCCGGTAATGGAAGTGTTGTTTCAAAAACTCACAGTGGAAAATTTTGTTCCGTTTAATTTCCTTTTTAACTTTTCTCATTTTTTTTTCTGTTGAGTGTAAATTAAATGACTTTATGATATGGGTTTTGGTTCTTTCCTTCCACTCTGTTGTCTGTGGAAATATCCATACACATTTTAACTCTCTTTTCGTATCATTTTGACCATTTCCCATTTCTTTGTTACGCAGTGAATAAATTACTTGACATTTTTCTGTCTCTTAAACTTCCTGCTGTGTTTGCTGATAAAACTCATTGCTAATACACGGATGAGCATGCTTGTGTTAAATGGATTATGTCATTAATTTCAATGAGACATTTTTTTTGGAATTACTAAATGTTATTTTGTATGCTAATTATTAGAGCTAAGCTTAATTTAAATTGTATTTGCTGGGGGGTCGTTTATAAATGATGTCCAACTTTGGAATGGCAAAATAAAAGAAGTTGTATGGAAGTTTTGCGATTAAAAGGGGGAGCAAAAATTGATGTAATTTATAAGTGAACCCCTTTCATACTCGTAACCTACAGTAAAAAAACTAAAATAATTATACACATGCAAAGTGAAATTTTAATTACATTTTTTTCCAACCATTCAATTGAAGTCCTTATCATTAAGCAAGCAGAACAACAAAAAATCACCCTCAATTTCACAGAAAAAAATCATTTTAATTATAAAATTCAATTCTTTTACTCGCTGTTGGAAAAGAATTTTTTTAAAATGCCAACGAAGCTCAATAAACGAGAGCAAATGTTTGTGTGTTTGAAATGTGACCACAGATAAGCGTGCGTCTATTATTCTCGAGTTTTTTTTTTCATAAAAGAGAACCACGATTTTTTTTCACAACAATGAAAAAACAAAAAAGCAGAACAAGGAAAATTTATTTCATGATAAAAAGAAGGGAGGTGGAACTGTAAACATCATGTACCTTTAGTCATTAAAATTAACTTTTTTCACTTTTTGTTTCATTCAATTTTGTCGATTATATTCAGTGATTTGTAAAATCAGCATGAAATTTATTCCTTTTTGTTCAATGCAAGACAGAAATTGAAAAAAGATTCATAATCAATAACATTAATTAAAAGCAAACAGAGCGATTATGAGCTGTCATTTACATTTGTTGTTCTTTGAGGTTATACTAAAATATTCTGTAATTAGGGTTAAATTTCGATAAATCAATTACCTGTAATTACATGCAGAAGGATGAGGAATGCATAAAATTTTGCATTGGTGAAGCCAGGAAGGAGTCATAGCGTCTGCATCTCTTCCAAAAATATTTTTGGCTACAACTTTAACTGCTGTATTAATAAATTAGGTCTATTTCCATTTTCCACACAAAAGAAAATTGCTCAAATTAGAAAAACGAAATTTTACTTAAAACAATTTCCTTTACTTTATCAAACTTTGTTCAATTTTTTATGAGACATCCGAGATATCAATAAAAAACTATTTTCCTATTATTTGATAACATCTCAACGACATAAAACTTTTTCATCTATCACTTCTTTCTGTTTTTCTTCTCTTTTTCAATAAAGTGTGTCTAACATCATTGTTATGAAGGAGAATAAGAAGGGAAAAAAAGACAAGCTGATAAGTAAATATCATGACAATAAAATGTTATTGACTTTGCGCTTTTCAATAAGCTTTAAAGCTAGAACAGTGAGTTTGAACGGAGAATTTGTCAGTCTGACTTCAACCACAAGTAATCTCAAGATGCTGCTGGCCTATTTTCATGTCCTTTTAACCTTATTGCTTTACGCAAAAAAACTACTTCCTTATAAATTTTCCTTTGTTAAAGTCAGTGTTGCTTAAACTGTGTGCCGTGGGACTCTAAAAGAAAAAAAATTGAGAAACCCGAAATGGCACAAGTCGGTTAACTCATCAGAAATCCGGCAACAAGCCAGTGTGAATCTGGCATTGTGCTAGATTTAAATCGATGCCAGAATCGTGCTAGCTTTGCTCTGGATTTATTTTCGATTAACCGACTTGTGCCATTCGGGTACACTTTTTAACTTTTAAAAATAATTGATTGATAATCCATAAAATGCGCCGAATGTATCGCATTCAAGATTTCCTACTGCTTGCCAAAAGACGAGTGACAAATCTGTGACGAGTAAAGAAGTTGTCTTACATGAGGGGTGACTAAAGAAGAAAAATTTCTTGAGTGGTTAGATAATGCTTTATTGTTTCTGATATTTTTCGAATCTCGATGATGTCATTTGAATTGGAAGGAGGAAAAAGTGGAGACGAATAAGTTTTCTGTTTACCATTTTGCGGATTTTATGTTGTTTGCCTCTTAAGACAAAGAAATAAAGGAATTCTCAATGGAAAACGAATCATTTAAAATTTATTAAAATAAATGAAAAATTGATTTGAACTTCTTTCGTTCTGTTCAGTTTTGTTTACTTTTCATTAAAAAATCTGCTTCATATTGCCATATGTGGTTGTCTAAATCCTCTTTAAATAAATCATTTCCAAAATTTCAATTCATTTTGATTATTAAATGTCATTAAATATTCCAATTATAAAACTTTTTCAAAATAAAGAGCTAAGCTTATAATAAACAAAGAATGCTGCATAGGATAATTGTGGAAGGGATGATGTCTAAATTAAATCAAACGTACATCAATCATGATTGTGGTATCAGTTGGTGGCATATAAATATTTAATTTGGCGCGTTTATTCAAAATCATAATGGTCTATTTAAGTAAATAGGGGCAATTAAATTCTTTTTATTCGTCGAATTCTGTTTAGAATTGTTTGCAATGGTTTGCACCAAAATACTTCCGATTTTTTTTCTTTATACTCAAATACAACGACAAAACTTATTTAGAAAGTATTTTTCATCCCTGAATACAATGAATTTCTTCCAAATTCGTGACTTTAAATTAAAAGTTTGAGCACAATAAAAAATCTATAAAAGACCTTGCTAATTATAAATTAATTTTATTGACGGTGTCATTTTGGAAAGTTTTAGGACATTTACCATTTAAATTATAATTTAAAAGCAACGATGGTGATACTTTTACAGTTTTTGACATTTAGCTATTTGGTGTGTTCTAGTTTTGCACAAATATCAATTCAGGGTGGTTGTCCATCTTTTGATTGCTGTAAAGAAGAATTTACACCTTTGCCAGTCGAAGATGTAAGTTTTAATATTGAATTAAAAATTGAATCTTTTAAAATAATTAAGAATTTTGTAGATGACTGGAATTTGGTACCTTTATGGTGGAGTTCCTTTCTTTTTTGATGTAAATACAAAATGTACTAAAGTTAATGTCTCGTCTTTATCATCGAACTATTTCTATATGCTCACAACTCAAATCGAGACCAGGTATTTTATTTATTAATATTTTAAAATCAATTTTAATTCTTCTTCACTAGTTCAGGAGAAATCAGAATAACAGATGGATTTGGCAACTTTACTATTAATGGAGAAGTCACAACATTAGTTTCAGATCGTAATTAAATTCAAATTACATACAAAACTTAAATATAGCATTGGAATTTTCTTACAGTCAGGGTTCCAATACCTTATGTCATCATCAAAGATACTCCTGAATATATTATAATGTTTGCTTGTTTAGAATGTGGATTCTTTTCAACCGAAGGTGCTGGATGTAAGTTTTAAAAATTTAGAAGCTTCAAAATTTAACAAATCTTTTTTCAGTGTACATCTATTTATATACAAAAGAAGAGCTTCCTCCGTTGACATTAGTCAATGAAATAAACGAAAAGCTAGAACAATGCGGTGTTCCATTGGATATTATACAAAGACAAGATCAAATCACTTGTGCACTATCAGTTTAAATAATTTAAAATAGCAATATTATTCATTTTTAATAAAATAAGATTGAAAATTTTAAAAAAAATTAAATTTGCAATGATTTTTAATTGTTTTTTGACATTTTATTGTTTTAAAATTCGCCAAAAATATGGAAATTCAAAACTAAAATTCATTAAAATCTAATTTTAGTTTGATCAAAGTTAAGTTCTTTAAATCACTTTTAAATTCATGAAATATCGTGTAAATGTATTAGTTGATGAAATATTTTCAATTCAGATGTCCTCCTCGTCAATAAATCTAGTAAAATTTGTCATTGATAATAATTTTAATGATCGTTACTTATCAATTTCATTATCATTAATAATAAATTATTTTATTGTTCAAAAGGTATTGAAAATAAAATCGTGATTCGAATTGACCAGTGCAAGTATTAAAAAATAAATAAAATATCATATATAAACCGATTCTAATATTGTAAATTATTCATTCTCAATTTAAGTCTAGTTTGAGTTTTTACTTCGATTTAAAAGTTTTTAAAATTTAAAAGTGATGTTTATTTCTTCATTAATCGGATTGTGCTTTTTGCATGTTGTAATCGCTCAAATACCTATTATCGGACCATGTCCATCATTCGATTGTTGTAAATCACCTCTTAATGAGACGATAGTAAATGAAGTGAGTGAATTTGATTTTTGAAAAAAAAGTGATTTTTAATATTTTTTAATTTTTTGAACTTAGTCGAATGGCATTTGGTATCTTTATGGCGGGGATTTATTCTTTTTCGATAAAAATACAAGATGTCAATTTGCTAATTTCTCGATGCTTCCTGACAATTATATCTACATCAACGTTTCACATTATGACACTTTGTGAGTAACTTTAAAGTTGAATTTTAATTAAATTTATTGATCAAATAATTTAAAATGCTAGATTGGAGGAAAATAGAAACTACATTATTTTTGGAAACTATTCATTAGCCAATGGAAATGTCGATACTGTGATTTCTGATTGTAAGTTATTTTAAGGATTTTTAAGGTGTTTTAATATTTAGAGTATAATTTTTACAGTGAAATTCCCATTGCATTATGAAATCATTCAATGGACTTCAGAATATATCATTGTTGTATCATGTTCTGAATGTGGATTCTTTTCAAAACAAGATGCTGGGTGTAAGTTTAAAAATGATTTTGTTGATTTAATTAATACAGCTTATTTTTTTATATTTTTTAAGTGTATGTCTACATAATCACCAAAAGCCAATCACCACTCTTCACGGTAACAGATAAAATATTCGCAAAGCTTGAAGAATGCAAAATTCCTACAGACAGCATCGTTCAACATAGTCAAACCAACTGTGGAACAATTATATTGGGAAATGGATGTTAATGATTTTTTGAAAAAGTTATTCACTTCTTTTTTTATTTTTATACGATTTAAAATTATGATATTTTGCCAAAAACTAATAAAGTTCATTTTAAAAAATTAATAATATTTGTCTTAATGTTAAAGCTATTCTTCTGTATTTACTCAGAATTTTCATTGTTTTTACATTATTTTTTAAAGAAAAAAAGTAAAATAAAATCCGAATATGGAATTTATTTTTAAAAACAATACAAGGTTTGAATAAAGGCTTCCGTAGATTATAATCTTTTAATAATCCCAAACAAAGATTATAATCAGAGCTCGAAGTCGATGAAATTTTGTATGAAGACAATTTGACTCGGAGTTGACTCCGCAGTACAAAATCGATGAAAATCTCTAGTTGACTTCGAGCTCTAATTATAATCTTCAATAATCTTTGTATGAAAGATTATAATCTGCGGGAGCCTTGATTTGGATATTATTAGCCAACGATAACTTCACGTGCAATAAAAATGAATTATAGTTCTAAAAACACGAGCATTGATTTCATTCTAGTAAAAAGACTATAAAAGTGATTAAAACATTCGTCAAATTCGATCATAAAACAAGGAACAAAGAACGTTAGCCTCGAAAACAAGTTCAATTATTTGATAAATGTTATTTTTACTTTAATTTCACTATTCAGGTCGTGGTGTAGCTTTAAAAGTAGCTTTTGAATGGTAATTCCTGTACATAGTCACGATTTAATTGAATAAATATTAAGGTTTCACAGATATTCGAGTAATGACCTTTATAATGGCAATGATAGCACTGATTTGCACTGAAAAGTGCCTCGTTATGCTTCTGTTGAACCATAACATTTCATCTTCCCATCCTTTTTCTAAATGTCTTGGTAAATCATCTGAAAGAGTGAACAACACATTATTATTTATCGACTAAAAGACGATGAAACATGATGATGAAGACACAAAATGCCAACCATAAGCTGAAGCTGGGAAATTTTCTCTCGACCCTTCGAGAAAAAAAAGGGAAGAAAAATAACTTTATTAGATATTTTTCCATGAAAAGTAGTCGGAGAGAAAAAATTCATTCAGGATAGAAGAAATGGGGAGAAGTTTAAGGATTTTTACGCTGAAAGCGATATTTATGTGTTTTTATTCTTTTGTAATGGCATGAATGTAATTTCGTTAAGCATTCTTTCTTCATCGACAAAACATTTATTATTGCTGTATCATTTCATCTTCTGTATTTCTTCAATTTCATCAATTTTTGTGTATGGGGGAAGTTTATTCATAGATTTAAAAATACTTTTTATTCTGACATCTACAAGTGGCTTCTTAAAAATTTGTCGTCATTTTTTTGCAAAAATTTCCACAAACTGGTATGTTTAAGACACACAAAAAAGGTTTTTTGGAAGTTGTCACAGCATTAAAATTCATATACGCAAAAAAAAAGTAAAATTTATTTTGTTAACTTCATAAATTTACTTTTACACACCAAATGTGTAATAATATGGATCCAAATGTGCACATTAAAATGATATATGGCTGTTTATAAAAGATGCTAGTTACACAAATATATTTTCATTCAGAATTTATTTCTTATAAAGAAATATTTCAATGCCATGTAGAATAGTCGTCAATTTACCGTCGGATCTTAATTTGAAGTTAAATAAAAATTCTGAACTCTTTTTAGAAATATATCTGCAAATTTCACTCTGGGGTGTAATTGTCACGGTAAAGCGATGTGCATTTTCTTAAAAAAAAATGTAAAGAACAAAAGACAACAGCCGTAAGATAAACATTAATGACTTAAAATCCGATGATAATGCAGAAAATCCCCAATTCTTCTCATCGTAATCACCCTCTTGCTTTTTCTTTTATTAGCAATAAGCATTTTTTTTTCATGAAGTAAAAAAAAATCTGTGGATGTTGCAATCACGTGGTGGTATGTTGAGGATATAGTGTAAGAAAATGTCTCATTCCATATTTCAATAGAGAGTATATGAAACCCATAGGGACGGCTGTTGATTATGATTATTTTTATGATGTTGTTACAAAAGCTATGATAAGACTTTGATGGTCGTAATCGTGGTTGTTCAGTTAATCTTAAATGACTCATAGAAATTATATTAGCCAGAAAAAAAGGGAGGCAAACTCATTGTGTAAATATTGATTCTTTCCCACAACCATTTACTTCTTCTTCTTCTTAATTAAAAGCATAATTTTTACTTAATTGTTTGGAAGTGAATGCTCCATATGTTAACATGTTCATTAAGGATCTCCTTTGCAACTACACGAAACACGAAACATTATGATAATGATAGCATAACGATTGGCCAAAAAATATGTGCTGTATTGCCATACAATGATAATTACTGCCGTTAAATGGATGTAAAAAAATGAAATCATTTATCATAGCATACACAACAGACATAGACACTAGTAAATGTGTATGATTTATGCTGTAACTTCAATGATAAATAGCATTTGATTTAATTAACTAAGTGAGATGTTATTGGAAATAGATATGTTTGTTGCCTATAAGTAAGGCGATTCCAGTGAATATTCAAGCTGAAAAACTTTAAAAATAATAAAACTTAAATTTTTAAATGCATTCCTTAATTTTATTGACAAGTCCACAAAATATTAGCAGTCCTAAACCATCCATTCCTTTTTTCCTTCAATAGCTTCAAAACATTTACTATAGTCATAGAATGTCATGCACTTTGTTTTGTAGTTCCACTCACATCGCTTTGTAAACGGATCATAACGAGTCCTGTAACGATCAGCACAAGTTTTTTCAATAATTTTGATATCATCGCATTCGTAGAATCTCGTGCAGTCGTATGCATGAGGAAGTGAAATTTCACGCCAAGTCTTGTTGAGCCATTTCTCCCATTGAGTGCAATTATAAGATGGTAGAGTCGGAATTTGCCCTCGACCATTAGCGTTCGAATAAATGACACAAGTTAATGCCATTGAAAGTATCAAAAAAGTTCTCATCGTTACTTTTAATTTTTAACTAATTTTTTGAAGAGTGTTAAGCACAATGTAGAAATTCGAGAATAAGCAATGCTTTATATATTGTGTTGGATTTACATTTTATAAGGCAAATGATAAGAATATTTTAAATTATTTGACATGTGTTTAAAGAAAACTGCAATAAAGATTGCACTTTAAAATTCAGAGTTTTATTACTTCCTATTTTAAAAAAAATTGAATTATCAATAAATTTGAAATAATATCGGACTGGTTTTTCACTTATCACGTAACCAGGAGCGTAGGGGGTTTGGGGGCAACCTCCTTCCTTTTTGAAAAAAATATCCGAAAATTCCCCCAAAATTTTCTCGTCCAAGCCAAGGGTGCGGAACTGAAAAATTACATTTTGATCATTTTTGATAATTTCATCAGTTCCACACCCTTGGTCCAAACAAAGAAATTTCAAACCCCCACCACCCCCCCCCCCCCCCCCAAAAATATTCTGGTTACGCCCATGCAAGCTTTAAGTTGGAGCATAGGTCTGAAATTCTGCAACAGTTCAAACAAAGCAAAATATGTGGGAGGGGGGGGGGGGAGGGGTGTCCTAAGAAATTCTCACAGATGAATCTAAAATTTGTCTTATAGGATTATCATTATGTTTAGTCTATTATTTGTATTAATTTCCGTCTTCATTCTTCTTTAAATAAAAGAAAATTCGAGATAAATTCAACAAAAGGGAATAAGAATTAAGTGGAAAAGTTTCAGCAATTGGCTTATCATAGCCTTTTTAATCTCTCTCTTCATTTGTTGTCTTCCGGCATTTGTCTTTTATTCTTCCTCCCATTCTCTTGTCACTGATGTTTACATTTCAGAAGATATTCAAGTTCTCTGCGACAATGTTGTTGTTATTGTTATTAACGCTTGTACAATAAAGACCAAGGAAGATAAATAAGTCGGAGAAAATAATCTTATAAAAAAAAAATACTTAACAATAGAGTCTTGTCTTTCCTTATTAAATTAGAGAAAATTTGCTATTTTAATTGACTTTTGTGGAGGGAAAGAAATACAAATTAGACGTGATAAAGAGACATTTAAGGTTTTAAAATTATTTATAATATTATGGATATTTAAAGCATATATTCGCTATATTTTAAAGCTACAAAAAAATCATGTTCTCTGAAACATTTGCTTCATGGTTTTATTTCCTACAAACAAATCAAAGAATGACTGAAAAAGAAGATAAAAAAAAAATTCACCCGCATTTGGATTTCCCAGCAACTACATGAAAAAAAGCATCACGTTTGCTATTTTGAGGAAAAGTCGTGGAAAATTTATGGGAAAACTTTTTTTTTTCATCTCTATTTCTCTCAACGTTTGTTGATGTTAAAACAGCAAAGCTATAAAAAGAGTTGAAAAAGGGATTTTATAAAAAGTAAAAAAAGAAATGTTTTGAAAACGGCAATAATTTGACTCACACTATTAAATGTTTAAAAGACCGATAAAATTGTTTGTACTGTTTGAAAATTCCATTCAGCGTGGAATGCAGTAAAAGGACATGGGTTGGAAATAAGTGAGACTTGTGGAAATGAAAATTGTTTATTTGTTTGAATTATGCAACAAATTTATTTGCTCTTGCATAAAATTTGTATGCTCATGTTTGTTTCCATTTTTTTTAATTGTCTGAATAATAATCACTTGAAAGGCTGAATGCTTGTAGATTGTTAAAGGGTTTCTCAAATGTACAAAGAACAAACTTTTTAATTAAAAAACTTTTTTTTTATTTCATTTCTAAGTGAATTGACGTCATTTATCAAACATTTAACTGGATATCGTATATTTTCAAAGGAATCACTGCATAATTGACTTTAAAAAACCCAATTCCAATACAATAGCTGGATTTCAATTCAGAATTTCTTGTTCTTCTTTTCAATTCAATTGATTCCATTAAGGTTATTAAAAAGCAATCAGGGATATTAAAGCCATCTGATGTTTTTCTTCCATTCCTTTCTGTTTGAGATTTATTTTTGTACTGTGAAAAGAAAAATAAAAGATTCTGTGCCAAAGATTGAAAAAGAAGAAGAAAAAAAAAATTCATTTTTTTGCTATGATTTTTTAAACATTAAATGCAGGTGTGCTTGCAATTTTATTAAGAACAGAAGCATTTTAGCACTACATAAAATTACACTTTTAAAACTTTGATAATTCATTTTTATGTTCCAATTTTTAATTTGCCATCCAATTCTTCTTTCCTACCAATGATTCATAGACTTTACTAAAGTCATAAAAAGTAAAGCATTTTGTTTTGTAGTTCCAGTCACATCTTTTTGAAAATGGATCATAACGAGTTCGATATCGATCAGCACAAGTCTTTTCAATAATTACAATGTCATTACATTCATAGAATTTTGTGCAATCATAAGCATGTGGAAGTGAAATCTCGCGCCAAGTAGTATTGAGCCATTTTTCCCACACCGTGCAATTAAATGAAGGTAAAGTTGGTGTTCCTCTTGGTCCACTATCACGGCCATTATCAGCAATGACATGAAACATTAACAAAACACTTGCGGATAAAATAATTAAAACTTTCATTGTCAAAATGATTTAAGGCTTTAGCTTCTTCCAAAAGTTTCAATTATATGAATGTGTATAATTTGATATTTTATGTCTTTTTATAGCAATTAACTATCTTGTTTATGTCACAACTTGTTCAAAATTATCAAAGACTGTCACCTGAAATTGAAAATTTGCATTTCTGAATTGCTGACTGTTTTTAAATTACCAAAAATTTTATTATCAATTTTAAAAGTAAACGAATTAATTATTTCAGCATTTAAAGATATTTTCCATCCATTCCGTACTTTGTTTTGATTAAATTTTGGTCAATATATTTAACACCATATCTCTGCAATATCCATTCCCTTAATATTGGCAATCGATGACATTGGGGCAATGCAGCAAGCACAAACTTTGGATTTTTCCTCATCAGATCAATCGCTTCACGTAGCAACTTCAAAATTTTCTCTTTATTTTTTCCAATTCTACCGACATCGGCCACAACGCGTTTCTGTCTCTCTTCAATATCCGCTTGACGCTTCTCATTCCATTCCTTCAATTTGGTTTGCCACATGTCTCGAAGGCAAACCGTAATTGCGTTATCCTCAGTCAAATATTTATTCAACTTTAGTGCTGTGTTAATCGAGTTTTTTACCACTCCATGGTCATGCAGGAAATCTATCGAGAAAATTTTCTCGTAATCAAATGTTAATGGATGACTACCATCGATTGATGGACGCTGGAAATATTTGATGATTAATGGATCGTATGAAGTTTTGCTGTATATTATCGTATCCTCATCATCGTCTTCATCATTTTCATATTCAGAAAGTGTATTTCCATCATTTGAAGTCGATAAGTCTTCACACTTATGGCATAGATGAATGTATCGTTGATTAAAAGAATTATTAAGTATTTGATTTAGTAAAGTTTTCATAATGATGTCCGTGTCTGCGTTTTCAACATTCTGCTTGAATTCATCTTCCCATTTTTGAAATTCCAAAAACATTCCATATTCAATTTCACGGTCTGAAATGCTAAGATGTCGATGGCTGTTTTCTTTAAAATCAATGTTTTCATTTTCATCCATTAAATATTTCATTAGCTGATAAAATTTTGATGATTCCTTGTGATGCTTGCCACATAGAATTTTCTCATCAGGCGAGGATGTGTTGGTTCCAATTTTTGATATTTCTTCAGTCAGTATTTTCTTTACAATGCAATGGGAAGTTGAAAATACCAAAGATTCTCTAGAAAACCACCGATTTGATTCATTTTCAATCACATAAAATGGATCCTTATACATTTCATAAATTGATAATGGTGGAACTGGACGTGGTGGAAGAATTTGAGGATATTTAACTTTTTTCTTATTAAATCTTTTATCAGTTTTGATTCTTTTGCTCATATTTGGTTTTGGCAAAATTTTATCAAGTTCTCTCAATGTCACAAGCATATCCAGATGGCAAATGCATGATAAAATCACACGTTCATTAAGTGAATACTTCCTCTGTGTACACGTTTCATGATACGAATGATAAACTTTGTGATACAGATACCACAAAAATGCTAAGTCACTATTTTTTGCAAATTTAATAGCTTTTGTTAACTGATTTTTATTTGGTAATGGATTGATTGAGATGCCCCAAAGAACATGTTTTGTGCGCTTCAACTGATAATCGAGCGTTTCTTTTCGGAGAGCAGTAAATAGCAGATTTGCTGCAGCAACTTGTCTTTCAGTTAATTCTTCATACCAATTTGGTCCACGTATCTTATTCTTATATTTCTCAAGCTGTTTATCTAAGAATTAAGGAAGTTAAATATTTTGTAAATTATTGATTGAATTCTTACTTTTTTGTGCATCTTCATCGATTACTTTTTGGAGAAGATTTCTAGCATTTTTTGAAACACATTTGAAATCTTCAATCAACTTAAAATGCAACTCTTCATCACGAGTTATATAAGGATAGTCACGTTTGCTACTTTTAAATGAACAACTCATAATTTTGAAGACGAAACTTTATCAAATCACAAAAAGCAAGTATGTAGCTTACTCTGATTTAAAACCAAACCAGATTGTAAGTTGTTTAAAGAACAAATAATGTTTCACACAGCACCTCAAAAAAAATAATTCAATTAAGTTCATGCTGTCAAAATGATATAAACTCAATACAAACGAAGCATGTGCAGAATAAAAATCCCAATTAAATATCATTAAGAAGTGTGTAAATATTTATAAAACACGAATTTATTTTTCAAGTTAATAAAATTAAAAAAATAAGCGAAAAAAGCAACAACATTGCATAATAAATTGTGAGCTGAAGTTAAGTTGAAAATAAATTGTGAACAAATTTACACATAAGAATTGTGCATAGTAGCACGTGTAGGTGAATTATTTATTACACTTAAATGTTGGAGGCGTTAGAAAAATTGCATAAATCAAGTTTACTAGAATAACTTCACTTGTTCTCACTCTTTCATTCATAAATGCTCAGCATTTTTAATGCTTAACTGAGTCATATGTTCCGGATCTTCTTTTCAGAAAATCTTTCTGCTTAAAAAATTAATTTTAAAAATGCGTTTCTTTAAATACTTTCCCATGACTTTCAATCTTATCCTATAATATGTGTGAATGAAAAAAATTCTACAGCATAAATAAGAAAAATTTCCCTTTTAATTAATTGCATCATTTGCATGCAAAATTGCGTGTGTTATATTGCCTTGCAATTTTGATCGCAATTAATGACTGCATCATGTATCAAAATGCAACACATGAAGTCATTAAATCTTCACATATTCCCTCCCCAGCAATGGACAATTTATTTTTGTCATCATCATCATTGGGTGCATTTCGGGTCTTCAGTTCCCTTTGTTGATGTTGGTTTGTGGAAAAAAAAAATATTTTTTGCAATGCAATTTTTGCCTATCTTTATTGCAGTTTACTCGAGATATTCATTGTTAATATGATACATAGACACAATCTGTCATTATCGTTTTATTCTGTATCTCTTACCGGAATTTTCATTTGCATCGTGTGGTTTGGCTCTTCATTTTGTCCAATCGAAAGTTAATTGTTACTTCATTGCCAGAATTAAAGGCAATCAAACCTTATCAATTTAAAATAATACTTTGTAAGGTCGTCCTTAAATATATTTTAAATGAGTCACTGCAAGCACGTTTTTTTTTTCATTTTAATTGCACTTTATTGCATTTATTGACGACATACTGTCCGGTAATAATTCACATTTTACACTTTTGTATTTGTATACATATGAACTAGTTTTTATGTAGGATCAAACTTCTAATATTTAAATCTTGGTTTCAAATAAACTAAGGCTCTCGTTTCGATCTTCTGTGGGTGTGACGTGATACTTTTCAGGTCCGTTCAAACAATATTCCATTTGTGGGTAATCTTGTAGCTCTCGTTCCCATTTCTCCCGCTACACTTCAAGTTCCTGACCCGTTCCTTAATACAACGTTGCGCAAATGCCCAATTATGGCTTGATCTCGTACATTAAGCAGTCGAAGTATCTAAACTTCCGAAAAAGAACAAATTGGAAATGGCTGGATTCGAACCGACGACCTTCGAGTTATCATCCCAAATTTGAGCCTAGCGCCTTACCTATTCGACCAGCAAGGCACGTAAATTCGCAATAACCACAAACACTGCAACAATGCCTTTCGTACTTTCAATCCTTGTCATTTGAACACATAGACATTGTATCGTTTGGCTCTAATTACATAATTAATTTTGAACTAATTGAATACGTGATCAAAGAGCATTGAGTTTCTTTATTTTCGTATTTACAATCAAAATATCGTAGCCGGTGACTACAATTTGCTGCACATAATGTATGTTGATGACAGTTGCTTTGAAAATTACTCTCTATAAATTCCATTCGCAATTTATTTGTTTGCTATTTCAACCAAAAAGAAAATGAACAATTCATCACAGAAAGTGACTATAAATATTTTAGTGCAACTGAAAATTTGCTTTTTTAGAGATTATTTACACATGTGATGATTATTCAGAGTGGTCTTTTGATTTTCTCGAAATAAATATTTTAAGGCTGGCATGTATAATTTTTGTCAAATGGTCATCAACATATGGTGAGACACAAACAGAACAAAAAAGATTTTTTAATTAAAATGTTATCATCATTGGCGTCATTTTGCATGTTGAGTTTGTTGTAGACATGATATGGCATAAATCATAAACATACAAACATCACATCACTGCGAATAATATTTCTGTGAATGACAATTTGCAGATATTTTTTGGAAATAAATTCTATAGACACAAATTGTAATAATGTTTGACTCACGTTTTAGTTATTAAATGGATTCACAAATCATAATTTTCAGCTACAAATTATGAATTATTGTTACGTGTTATCATCTTTATTGCCATAAATACATAAAACAAAACATATTGCTGTGCAGTGTTTTTATGATACTTTCGAACTTTTGCTTACTGTCTAGGTTTCTGCTTGATTTTTCATTTTTAAAAATGAAATTCAAGATTGCACAACTTATTCTCATGAAAAGCTGTCAGTCAATTTACTTAAAAAATTACAGAAGTCCTCGTGTTATCGATCGAGGGACCTAATAGAGGAATAATGACAATAATGTCATTCTTTATTGAAGAGACTGAATATTTAAAATTATAAATAAATATTTGAAATTATAGAGGTAATGTTGAAATTATATAGGGAGTCAAAAAAGTGAACAGGTTGCACAGTACTAAAATAAAAAAATCATTAATTATAGCACAAAGCCATTGTTGTATGCTTCAAAAATATTCGATCGGCCAATAATTCGATAGAACGGAGCTAATAAAACAAATTCGAGCTCTCTACGATGTCTGGATAGAAAGTTTTTCTTCACCCGAACGAGCAGCCGAACAAAGTGCATTATTAAGTTAACTTTTAGAAACAAGTTTCAAAAATGCGGTAAGAAGGATTCTGGATCACAGAACAATTTACCCTTCCAGGATCTTGAACATTTTTCACCACATAACCAGTCAAATTGGCTTTATAGAATTACAGTTTGCCCTTTAGTTTCATATTTTATAATTTCCACCACTTATACAAATTTTCCATCTTCTTTAAATATACACACATCATTTTCTCTCTTATCTTATTCAGAACAGAAGTTTCCACAAAATAATCTCTTTTTTCGGAAAGAGCAAAAAATTATTTACGAACTTAAAATTTTCCATAAAATGACTCTTTCTATTGTTTTTAATACAAAATATACAGACTATGATGAAGAAAGGACCAACACAATATTACTTTACTGAGATTTTTAATCCTCTCAAGATGGCAATCTGAAGATAGTATTAAGACGTTTTGCATGCTCTATGTTTTAATTACATTAAAGGTTGTTAAAATTTTATAATCCTTTGATGGAGTACTCACATGTGTGTTTGTTCCCACTTCTAAAGAATAACAAAGAATTTCCTTCCTTTACTTACTTACTTAATACTCTTCTTTGTGTATTTTTTCTTTTCTCTCTATCGTTCTATGGCTTCAGAATTGACGATAAAGTTTCTTGTTGTTACTTCAATGGGGAAAGTTTTATTTTCCTTAAAAGTCTGAAAGTATCCAATAAAAGTAAATAAAAGGCAAAACACTCGAGGAGAAAATAAAGTCATTGAAGCTTGTAATAAATCGATTAGTTACTCACATAGCTGCCGAATAATTTTAAAGAATTCTGGATGGAGTCAAAAGACTCAAAGTTTTTTGAAAATTATGTAAATTTGCAACATAAAACTCGTTTGCCTGTTTAATAGAAGTATAATGAAGTAGCTACGCATTCTATTTCATCCATAATTTCTCCTATTCTAACATCAATTTCAACGTTAATCTCCGCTAATCCTCAAAACAAATTAGCTCGATTAAATGCTTTGATAAACTTTTCTGATGAATTTATTCCTTATTCTCGTCTCTCCTGCATAACAAATGAAGTATAATTTGTTTTCCCAAATCTTAGGGATATATGGAAAGGCAGAAATTAGTCTTCATTTTTGTACTGAACGTGTCGCCTTTTTTGTTTAACGACAAAACTTTTCACAATCGAGTTTTTAAATCTTGTCATTTTTATATTTGTTTCACGTTCTTTGGATGTTTTATTTTCCATAGTGCGTTTTACTAGCTGAGCACGTTTTTCAAGGTAAAAAAGCAGTTACATTCAAATTTGTCAAGTTTTAAATGCTTGAGGAATGTTTCTTTTTGGATTTTCGAGCACTTACAAGAACATTATCATTATCTTTCTCATTTAGATGCTTCAACAAAAAGAAGAAAAAGAAAAGAAAAATGAGATTTGGCATTTTCAAAGACATTCCACCCTCAAAATCAAATTAACATTTTACAGCACTCAATTGTGTCGTTTACATTTCTTTTATTTTTTGACAATTGTCTGCAGGAAAATCACGATAAATGGAATTTCCCATTCCACTCACTTACCACTCATTCCTCTAAGCCTTTTTGCTTATATATAATACATTTTTATGAACAACAAAGCTAATTAAAAGTTTCACATTTACTCGGCATGAGTTAAATTTTACATTTTTTATTTTCATCCTCGTTTTAAGCACAAAGTAAAGTTTAAGAAGGCCCATTGTTTTTTTGATTAGACAGCTTAAGGAAATACGAATGAAGAAAATTTCAAACAAACAATTTTTTTATTTTGTGAAAATTAGTATAATTTATTCTGCACAAGTGGAAGACATTAAGAGATCTTATTTATGCAAATTGCGATGATGATAAGAGAAAAGGAATTTTTACCTGCCTTTAATGTGCTGTAAGGGGGATATTAAATGCATATGACGCAGAGGAATAATGATTTAGAATGAAAAATGATTTATTTTGTAGCTAGGGTTGGAGATGTGCCTTTAAACTCTTAGTAATCCTCTTCCAACACAGTTTGAATTGTAAAATCTTTAGATCGTAAGATTTCTGATAAGCTAATTAATTTTAGAAATTATCAATAATTTATCCAGCATTGTTGGAACCAATACTACAAAATTA